GGGATTTATGATTGGTCTCCACCACAAACTCTTTATCACCCAAGTATTGCTTCAAGTGTTTAGTTGCAAACACAATGGCTTACTCTTTTCGTTCTTTCGTATGATAATTTTGTTCTACCACCATCAACTTTTGAATATAGAAACCACCTCCATGTCATACATCCTCCCATTCTTGCTGAAGAATGTCATCCACCGTTGTAACTAATGCGTTAGTAGCCAACTAGATATGACGGTTAAGGTCATACCACTTGAGTATATGTGCGTGTAACAAAGCATTTTTCAATTTTTGAGTTGTTCTTCATCTTCATTATTGAATTTTTCCTAGCATGGAAGTCAAAACTTGAGCTAGGTGAGCAAATCCAACGATAGAATATAATCTACGAACAAATTTGCGATAGAATCTAATGAGCTCTAGAAAGCTCTTCAATTAAGTTTGATCCTCATGTGCTGGTCATTTCTGAATGTCATCTATCTTCTTACTCATTATTTGGATTCATACGGCTCTAACTCTATGATCCAAGTAATCTACTTCTGATTTGCCAAATTCACATTTTGAAGTTTTGGCATACAATTGATTGTATCTTTAAACTTGAAGTATTTCTCGTAAATGGCGTTTATGATCATTCAAAGTTTTGCTATACATCATTATATCATCTAGAAAAACAATGACAGCTTTATCAAGATAAGAACAAAAAATATCGTTCATTAATCACATGAATGTAATTGGTGCATAAGTGAGATCAAAAGGCATCACTAGATATTTTAAGTGGTCATAAATAGTAAAAAACAATTTTGTGGACATCTTCATCTACCATTTGAATTTGATTGTAACCGCTTCTCAAATCTAGCTTGGTCAAGCACTTCACTACTTAAAATTGATTAAAGAAATAATCCATACGATGTAATGGATATTTGTTTTTCATCATTTGCTGATTCAATCCCCGGTAGTCGATGCATAGTCTCATGGATCCATCATTCTTTTTCACAACGAGCAGTAGAGCTTAGTAAAGTAAAACACTTGGTTGGATGATTTACTTGCTCAACATCTCCTCCACTTGAGCTTTGCATTCTTTCAATTTGTTTGGAATCAAATGGTATGGAGCTTTGCAAGTTTGTGTACTTCCTGGTATCACATCAATCTTGTGATCTACTCACCTCTTTGGTGATAATCCTTCAGGTAGATTATCTAGAAAAACATCCTCATTCTCCATAAAAATGTCATTCAATGACTCCAAGATGTAAAGTTTGTAAGTGGATCCAAAATCTCTTATAAGTCCAAGGAAACATACATCATCTCTAGAATTGCGTGTTTTACCCATCACAAAGAGGGGTTAATTCATATACTAAGATCTATCTTATGTATCTTCATAGATTTTTCAACCACTACTTCTAATCACTTTTCTTTTTCAATCTACCTCCAGATTATATTGCTCCATCCATGGCATTCCAAAAATCACATCATAACGAGTGAAACAAATCACTCTCATTTGATGCTCTACTTAAAGATAAATTCACACTCTTTGATAGTATTTCTATCACTTGAATTTGCTCGTTTGGCAATTCAACTTACTCATTCACGTACTTCATCAATATCAAACTTAATTTTATAGTAACACTCCTTGATAGAAAATTCTTTGTCGCCGCGGTATCGATCAAAACTTTCATCTTGTGTTCTTTCATCAAATCATCACCAATAATGAATTGAGCTTGCTTCTTACTTCTTCCATGAGCTCCGAACTATTGAACTCTTTCAACCTCGTCTTTTTTTTTTTATGAAACCAGTAAAGCCGCGAGGTTACTTTACCGGCGATCTTTGTTACCTGAAATTTCTTCTTCAATCTTTTCATACTCTATCTCCTCCATGTTGTTGAACGATTGTTAATGTATGGGTCCTACTCCTTGTGCTGCCAGTTTAATTTGAAAAAACTTAGCAATGTGATCCATTCGTCCACATGCATAGCATTGATGATTGTAAAGATCTCTCATTTATCCTCAAAGCATTCCATTATTTGTATAAGCTTCTTGCAAATTTAGAATTTATGTTCGTCAAATCTCACCTCCAAATCTTGGAAATGGTACTCTTGTTGGTGCAAAACTTATTCTAAGTCAAAGTGTTTCAACTCCATCGGTGTAAGTCCAAATGGATCTCAAAAATTGCTTACGGATTCACCGTGTGTAATACCATAAGCACTCAAAATTTGTTGAGCAATTGCGATTGCTTCACTCACTGTGGATGAATTGCTTACCATCACCCCCTTTTGAATTTGATACTTCAAGACTTGTTAGAACACGTCCAAAGCTTATGCTCCACTTATATCCATGATACCTACTTGAAGATCATAAAATTCTTCAGTGCACTCATAGATACCTTCCATTTGCTTCAAATCTCATAACTTTAATTTTGAATCCACCGCTTGAAAATTTTACAAAAGTACTTCCTGCATTACACTCCACAAAATGATAACATCTCGTTTTAAAAGCATTTTCTTCCATGTTGTGTATCATGTGAAAACTTTATTCGCAAGATAAGATCTCATGAACATTCTTGCAATATAATCAGAAATATGAAAATAGTACAAATGAATATTCATACTCATTATTCATCACTCTAAAGCTCTCATTGCTCTACTCTCTTTGTAAACTTCCACCACCCTATAGGATTTTTTCCCATTTGAAGGAAAAGATTTTCTTAATTTTCAATTTCTTGAAGATACGTTCATACGTTCATCTACTATAATTTTTTTTCAAATATTTCATATTTCCTATGATTACGTTGAGAACCTCCCCCATATTGATTGATGTTCCCATACTTTGTCACACTCATTCTAGTACAAAATAAAAATAATCACTATCTGATCTCTCAAAAATATAATCATATGGATTATTCTATCACAACTCTATAGAACTCGATCCCATAATTTCTCACAAGAAAATTTCTCCATTATATCTTTTGTCGATACATTGTTCTAATTTCTACATATATGTTAAACCGAATTGGAGCGCGTGGTTCGTGATTCAAATCCATAAAACATTCAATGTATGATATAATCACAAAGTTTCTCTATAACTTACTATTGGAAGAATTAATAACATTCTTGAATCCATTACTCTAGTTATAAATCTACATTTCAACAAAGCACAAAGTACGTCCAAAATTGATGTTGATTAACTGCTACTTTATTTTAATTAACTAAATATGATGACATATATCAAAGTATTTAAATCATTAAATCATAGTTTTTTTTTTCTTGGATCATGCTATGATGCTAAAACTAATTGACAAATGTAACCTATAGAATTTTAGTGAGAATTTCATAAAATGATGGTTGGGTTTCTAGGTAGATTTGATTGTATCTAATCATCTACTAATGATATTGTGACACTGAAGTATTTGCATGATGCATTGAAGTGTTTAATGTCTTGAAAATTGAAGTACTTTCTATGTGTTATATCAACATGAGACATTGAAGGTGGATTCAATTTTGTGTAATGCGCAACATAAAAATGTTGGTGGAAATTTTTAGACTTGCAAACAATACTGATTCGATACGTGAGAAACTATGGCTATCTTCACAGTATTGACAGAAGGTACAAATATGAATCAATATTAATTTTGAGTAAATGATACCAAAGAGTGTAACTTGCAAGTATTTCATGATTGTCTTATTTTGCATTTGAGGCAACGTTAAGCCAATGTGAGTAGGAAGTCAATGGCCTATTTACAATACGAAATTCCACATGTGTTCAACCTCTGATTTGATAAGCCGTATGAGCCCATTCTATCCCTTAAGAACAACCAATCAGTTCACATAGTTTGTCAAATATATGTTTTGCTTTCATTTGAATGATGAGATTATGTCGCTTTTCATGCATTTCTCCTTTTCAATATTCTTGGCTCTTCGCGTCGGGCCCGGTGAAGGAGTGAAATTTCATCCACAATGGCACACTGAGATGATTCAAGGTTCAACACAAGTATAATACTCAGAATGGTACACGATGCACATGTTTTCGTGCAAGTACTTCAGCGTGTTTTAAAGTCCACCATTGAATAGCATGAACTTCCGTTGACCTTGGTGTACCATATGATGCCGACTTTTATGTCGTAAGATTTCGATATCAAAATCTCCATAAGCTGTACAAGCTTTTGAAGCATTGAACTAAATGCTCCTTAAAATTTGAATGGATACTCATGCATACACCAACGGAGGAGAGCGAGAGCTTCAGTCCATAGATTCATAACGTTATGTAAAGATAACAGGGGAACATCGGTTGTCTGGGATATAGCCTCAATACGACATGCACATTTCATCCTTCATTTGTACCATGCGATATCTATTGCTTATCCAAGAGAAAATCACTTCGTTCAGAATCAAAAGTCGTAAGGCTTTTATCAGTGTGGAGCAACTCCATTCTCTTGTCTTCCACCTACAAGAACTTGCAAGATCATCAATTTAAAAGCCCTGCGTTGCAGTTCAATTTGAAAATCTGTAGAAACGGATTGATATCATTGACATATCATACAGTTCCAGTGATAAGACATAAATGACAGGTTACAATAGTGTGTATCTACTCGGAAGAATATCTGTATCATGTAAAATGCCCATGCAAAAATTTTAAAACCAACACATAAGAAAGAGTTCACTGGATGTGCAACTTGAAACAATCTAAAAATATGTCGTGTAGGAGAACTATTCCATTAAAACTACAAACAAGGCAAGAGAGCAGCTGTCCCAGTCTCAAGTTTTCTGAAACTACGTCACATGCTAACATTATGTACAAGTACTTCGACAAACAATTAATTGTAGGCACAACCTGACAAAAAACCAAAAACGACTATTACGCACGTTTCGGTTCCTGAATTGCAGAGTTTAATTACCCCCTTCGTGACATTTATTATTTCTATTGAGACAAAACCAGACTTAACCGCCAAATCACAATAGCAAGATAATAGATGAAACACAAAAGTTTCCAGGAACTTATAGGACCCAGTACTCCATAGGCAGGAAAAAATTCCAAAGTCGTGTACATTCAAAAGAAGCTTACAAGTCGCGACTTCACAAACCGTTACACTGTTCAAGAGAATGACTGCACGCAATCAATAATTTGATACATTTGCAGCACATATACAGATCTGCTGACAAAAGGGACCGCGGTTGTGGCCACAGCACAATATCAGCAACCCTCCACCAACCTCACCTACTTAAAGGCCAGGACCTGACACCCTACCTTCCTCATTTAATGGACATAGGAAGATCTACAAGACGTCAAGCTAGAGCAACCAAACAAGGCAGTTGCTTAAGGCAAGCAAAGTTCATAAATCTTGAGCCCCCTCAAAGGGTCTCAATGACCTTTCGTATGCTCTAAGTCTACTGGAGCACACCCTATACCTTAAACGAATGGTTCCACCTACATCACCTGATTGAAATTTTACATCATCCGATAGATCATGTACGGATACTATCTACGATGAGCACTAATCCTCAATGTGCTGAATCTCACCCATCATGATCCGATTACTTGTGACACTGAATCCTAAAAGAGAGGGATCAACCACCTTCTTGCCCTTCTTACCTTTCTTCTTGCCTGCTTTGGTGGAGTTTCCATCCGCATCTGTAAAGCCACTGTCGTCCTCCTTGTTAGTGGTCGAAGAGGCCACAAGTTTACTCTTGAGATCTCCCTTCTTACCATTACTCTTATTCAAAGATTCATCCCTGATCACTGCATCACTCACAGGGAAAACCGTCCGAATGATATCAGAAGGCATCATCTCTTTCCGCCGGAGAAACTCAGTCTTAAAACTTTGCACAGTGGGGCCGGATCCAAGATACTGTGTCAAGTACTCTCCAGCCTCTGCAACTGATGGAAGCGAAATGCAGAAGTCGACAAGAGTCATGTCTGTCCAACACGAAGGCAATATCAGAAATAATTCTCGTCTTACATGACATCCCCAGAAAGTCGACCAATTGCATAAAAACAATCAACCTTTCCTAGGTGGAACAAAGCGAAGAAATTCACTCTCAAGAAGGACAGCAAGTAACCAGCATATGAAATAAAAAGGGGTCTTTGATGACCAAGTTGTTACCATCATTTCCCGTCAGCTTCTTTATGTGCTGTTCACACCATTGTCGAAAGGCTTTGCCCTCAGTTGTAACCACAGCTGTAGGTTGAACGACTGAGGATGTAGCTGAATCTGCAGCGTTGACAGGTGAGCATTTAGATTACAGAAACAACAGCTAGCGGATGGAAGTTTTCTTCCTCTGTACGAAGCTGACTTAAATTGAAGATCTATCTTGAATCGTTGAGACATTTCTCCCATATTACACATACCTTCGTTGGCTCGCTTCGTAGTTGGTTGCTGCTTCTTACTTTTCACTGGCGCAGATTTGATGTTCGCACTCGCAATGGCCGATAACGATGGGAACTCCATGGGACTTACACGAGGGGATGCTACACCTGCTGCCGCCTGCCGGAATGCAGAAGCTGGTGTTGGTGAAGGGACAGGTACTGGTGATGATGTCGGTGTTACTACTGAAGGAACCTTCGTGGCTGGACCTTTGGAAGCGGCCACTTTCCCTGCTGCGGTCAGAGACGGAAATTCTGGCCTGCGCAACATAGATTCCAGGTTAGCAATGAACAAACTCCTCACTAAAAGCTTGAGTTCCAGCACTATCAAAGGACACCCAGGGAAACCAAGGCACGCACGTTACCTAGTGCTTCATCATAGTACGCATAAAAACGGCTCAATATGTGAACTAATACTTCTAGACCTTCTGTAGCTATGCATTCTTGTCTCAAAATCACTCCCACAATTTGAAGAGGCTTCGGAAAATTGACAGTGCTAGTTTGGTCCTACCGTTCAGCTTTCGTTGCTTGCTTGACAGCACCAATCTTAAGTGTCACATCTTCACTGTAATCCCAAAACAACTCATCATCATCTTCAAAGACACCTGTTTTTGATCGAGAATTGCTATTGGCTGGAGCCAATGGTGGAGCAGCTACTGGTGCTGCAAAGCTGGATTGGACAGCACTTGAAGTTTGTGGAGATGGGGACACTGAAGGGCGTTGCCAGGCAGATGCACCTGATCCACTGGTGGTACGAGCTACAATTGGTTTGATAGGGGCAGAAACTTGCATCACTTCAGCCCTTAACTGCCTTTCCTGCTCCTCCCTTGCACGCCTTTCAGCTTCTTGGATTTCTTTCAAGGATTTGGTAGTTTTCTTGCTTAGATCCATTGACCAAGCAGGTAGTGGCTGCGGGGAAACCACTTCTTCCTTGAGCTGCAGAAAATCTGCCAAAGAGGGGCCTGGAGGAGGTGCAGGTAAGACCTCTTTGGCAAGGTCATGTTGAGCCAGTCGAGCTGCAAGGTTCTTGGAGGATGTTGATGGTGAGATCTGGACAGGTTCTGGAGTGGAAGTAGGAGTCGTCTTGCTTACCAAACCCTTAGCTTTAGAGGCCCGTTTCTTGCTCTTCTTGGATTCTTTAGGTTCCACAAAGTCGGAATCGTCAAATGCCGCAGAGGCTGGAGGTGGAGTGGCAGCAGGTGCAGGTGCAGTGACCTGGCTGGTTGAGATATCAGAGGCAGGAACATCCCCACCCTTCTTACTTGGTGCACTCACTAATACCTCTTCGACAATCGCGTCTCGTATGTTTGACTTCTCACCACTTGATGGTTGGGTTGAAATAGTCCAAGGAGACTCACCCTTTCCACTCGAAGCAAGAGGAGAAGCAAAAGTGGACGAACCAGAATGGCCAAGGGCTGCGGCTCTGCGGCCCTCCTCTTCCTGAATTTCTCTCAAAGATTTTGTTTGAGAAACTGCTGTGGCAGTCCACGGTCCGGAATTGTTCGAGTTTCCAGTAGCACTCAAGGACATTAAGCGCGATGCTGCATCGGCTGCAGCTTTTTCCTCCGCCATTCTCCGTTCTGCTTCTTCTTGTTGGATTTCCATCAGGGACTTCGGCTTTGGTACGGCAGCAGGTTTCCAGACTGGTTGGCTGGGCATCGGAGCTGTTTCGGGCACCGAGTTTTGAGGTGAAGTGTCTGTTTGAAGGCCTGAAGACCAACTTTCAGTAGAATTCTGCTGGTCAGACACGATCGCTATTGGTATATCACTAAGCAACGCCTGAGGAGGCATGGGATCGGGCTTGGAACTAGATAGCCCTTGGCTGGGCAGCTCCTTCCGCCCAAAATCATGAGAATCCTCCCAAGAATGGCCTCCAAATACTTTTGAAAGAGGAGGCAAAGTACTGCTCTCTTTCCCCTTTTCAAGGTAGGTGTTAGCTTCATGATGAGAGTCTGATCTATATTGCCAACCAAGCCCTCCCAGCTGAGACTGGTGAGAATCGACAATGTTAACGTCATCTTGAGGCGATGATCGTCGGTCGTTCACCTTCCCAGGTGCATCTAAATCTCCTGATGGGCTGCTTGTGGGTACGGTCCATCCTAGAGCTCCGGCTTCGGGTTGTCTATCTTGGGTTTGTGATTGAAACCCTAGAGAAAATGATCCGGAAGATTCAGAATAAGGGACACTAGTTGCCCTCTCAATCCTTGCTCTTTGCTCTTGAAGTTGTGCCACTAAATCTGCAGCGACTCCAATGTCCTTTCTCTGAGACCCTCCCATAGATGACAAACTCCTCTCAATTCTTGCCAAATTAGGGTCAAACAGACTAGCCGGACCTCTCACACTTGTGGCAGACTCATATCCAAAAACTCCTTGGCTTTCTGGCTGAGGAGGACCTTGGACTTGAGGATGCTGCATGGAGCCTTGCAACATGCCCAAGGAGCTTGGCATATGGTGCTGCTGCTGCTGCTGCTGCTGCTGCTGCTGTTGTGGTTGCTGTGGTTGTGGCTTCAGCGTATCGAATGGCCTCAGAGGAGCTTGAGCTTGGGTACGCACAAACTGACCGAACTCATCCACTTCCCAAACTCCAGAGATACGCATTTCGTCAACACTGGGCCTTGGCGGTTGCGAATGGCCAAACTGCCTCACCTGTACACAAAAAGCATAACGGTAAGATTCACTAATTCGAAAAAAACTGCAACTTCCATGTGCCTGGCAACCAGCATTACTAATCCGTTCGAATCTCTGAAAACAGGAGATGAATAAATCATTATATTTGGAAGCAACAGGGGAACTCAGTGACATCGTTAATACATCGGAGGATTGAGGCAACGACTATTCAGAAGAAAGGAGCTGAAAAGGTACCTCTGCCCTGGATGAGATAGAACAAATTAGTACAAGATCAACTAAAACAAAGATAAATTAAGCCAGCAATATATTTGAGTGATGAGGTGGTATTTGCTCAAGTATATCTATCATTACAAAAAACAAAAATGTGACTCGTAATCATTCTAGTCCTATGTCAGATGATAACAACAAGGACGGTCGAGCAAGTGACAACATGGATACAGGTTGGTTCAAGAACGCGTCGGTCATAGTCCTCATCAAATATGAGTGATTCAAGTACAATTTGTTAATTCTAATCTGAAGATAAGTATTAATATAGTCAAACCGCCACTACTACAGAGGATAAATAGGTGTCTAAACTCAAAGGGACACCCATACGAACATATCGGTCCACACTTATGGACTTACCAAGTAGGGAAGAGCAGTGAGCCTGCAATGATAGAAATAAAGGATGGAGATTTCGCAGATCCAGGGTGATCACAGCAGAGAAGTGCTAAATAAGGCACACAAACTGCGACTAGAATCTAGAATATTGACGTCAAATCCAACTGACTAAATGGATCCTAGAGCTGTACAGATGCGCAAATGATCAAAAGAGAGTTCGTGGCCGCCACTTAAATTACAGTCTAAGAGGTATTGTCTGCTAAATCCTGCGGACTCAGCCAACAGATATGGAGGCGAATCCCGTCCACGGTTGCAAAATCATTTGAAAGCTTGCAACCAAGCAACCATCATCGATAATTCACAGGCCGTGTTCAAGCTTATTACGTGGGCCCAGTTCATCAGACAGCTTTTAGAATCTTCGGGGAGTAGCACTCAAATTGTAAATAAAAGCCTGCACCTGTTGCTGTTGCTGTTGTTGTTCTTGTTGACGATGGCGGAGAAGTTGGTCCATTACAGGCGCAGGTTGATGCCTGCCCTGGTGAAGCTGATCAAAGCTGGCACCACGAGGGCCAAGAGGATGTTGAGGAGGCTGTGCCATTTCATGAGTCTGTCGCATGAGCAGTTGATCCGCAAGCCCGCTTACTGGACCCGCAGATGGCGGCTGTCTGTGAACATGATCGAAGTGGTGGTTCTGGTGTTGTCTAAGGAGCTGTTCCAACAAAACTTGGGGAGGTAGTTGTTGTTGCTGCTGCTGCTGGAGTCGTAAAAGCTGATCCAAGACAGGCCCTGATGGAGGGATTGGCAACGGAGGCTGATACTGCTGCTGCTGCTGCTGCTGTTGTTGCTGCTGCTGTATCATATTAAGCGTTTGAAGTTCACGAGCAAGACCAGGACGAAGAATTTGATCCAGTGCAGGTCCACCAGCTGGCATCTGTTGCTGGTGAGGAAGCACTTGCGGAGAGGGCTGTGATAGCTGACGCTGAATTGAAGGAAGACCTCCTGCCTGCATCAAACCGAATCGTTGAAGATGCTGCATTTCCAGCGGGTGAATATGTGAGTGATCGACCCCACCACCAGGAGGCATGTTATGGTGAGGAGATGGTACGTCTGAGAGAGAACGCATCAAATCGCCCCGCATGTCAGGCCAGCCACGATCAGGTTGAGGTCCAAGTGGTACATGGCTGTTCACTCCCTGCAACATCGGCAGCAAATCTGACGGCCTGGAAACTGGAAGGTGATTGGCTGATGGAGGCCCCCTGAAAGAATGATGGTTAGGTAGGGGCATTGGAGCCTCCATACTAACTGACGATGGAGGCTCTCCGTCTTGCCCGGCCCACTGAGAAAAGAGACTTGGTGAGGGGTGCCTGGCCGATTCCAATTCTTCTGATTCAACCCGAGGAAATGCAGACATTCGACGACGCATGGAGTACGTTCTATCCAATCCTGGACCATCTCTGGGACCGAACAGCCTATCCACAGGTATATCTGTAGAGATTAAAACGTGCAAGTCAGTCACAGATTGTTATTACAACACATGTCTATTTCTGAACATAAAATTTTCATTAGTACAAAATCTACCAGCAAGTTGGCTAAACAACAACCCAGAAGTGGTTTCGAGCACCAATTACCTTCTTTCGGATCAAGAAAGGATTCCTTCATCTGGTCTTCCCGACTGAGTCGTGTGTCTCCAGACAATGAAGCAGCCTCAGATGCATCCACAACATTATTCATGACTTCCATCTTCGGCAAAGGAGGTTTACCTTGTAACTCCTTTGTCTCTATCATTCCAGTATCTGTCCCAGAAGCCGACAAGCTGGTATGCCGTGCAAAATTAACAGATAAACTATCGACCTCGATCTTTGAGATAGCCTCGATTTGTTCTTCGACCTGCTTCAGAGCATCAAATCCTGGTGGCACTCGGGCCTTCGGCTTCAAGTGTGGCATTACATTTCCCAAGGAAGTGAATGGAGCATTTGGTGGTGCATCCGCGAGGCGCACTGGAAGATCAACACCAAAGAAACCAGCTTCAAACCAATCAATGATATCTGAGCCAAAAAATGGCCCTTGCATCTCTCCTTGCGGATCTGTGTAAAATAAACTCAACTCTTCTGGTGGAATGTGACGAGAGTTGGGCTTGTTGGAGATCTCCCTGTCAGAGGATCCAGAATACTGGCTCCCCCTGGTAGCACCTGATGTGCCCATACCAGAGGAAGACAGTTCCTCAGACTTCTCATGATCTACGCTCCTCTGATAGGAATTCTCAGAGTGCCAGCGCCTCTCACTGACGCTGGAATTTGGACTTTCGTCTTCGAAATTACCAGAAGATTTTTCTTTTTCTTGGCCAGGACCCCTCTCAGATCTACCGGGGTATTCTTCTCTGGAGTCATCTTCGCCTCTACTTTGCCGCCAACTATTTTCCTCTCGAGAATTCCGTTCATTTCTCCAATTCTTCTCGTCCTTGGAAGGTACAGATGACTCATCACCGTTCCTTCGACTTCTCCAGGAACCATCGCTGCGCTGTCGCCAACCGGAATCTTCTCTACTGAAGTTACCAATTGCGCCTCCATCCTCTCCACTCTTCCGTTGTCTCCAACCAGCCTCCTCTCTACCTCCTGATTTACACGGGTGAAAAACCGGTTGAGCGAAAGGAAAACAAATGCGAAAAAAAATCAATGTCTTCCGCGTGATGGGATTGTTAAAAATAATGCAGCAGAGGTGCAACACGAAATTCCACACATTGCGAGTACTCGAGAACTTCAGATATTCAATATAATGTTACCTTCTAAGTCCTGGGCACTTTCACTCCGACTGTGTTGCTCCCAAGTCTCACCACTATCTGCATCTGCGTACCGTGCCTCTGCAAGTTTGTCAAAAGCACCGCCATCTCCTCCACGGACATCACCGAATCCAGGAGCGTCAAAGAAATCATCCTCCCTATGACTGTCGAAAAGTCCCTCTTCTTTACCACCTGATTGGACAATTGAGAGACAAAATTTAGGTCACAACAATGCCGACAGCTGAAATCGTGCACTTGAGATATCAGCCGCAGCCAGTTCGTGCGGCGTACATATGAATACATGAGAGGTGCATTGCGAATAAAAGGTGGAACAATCGTCTTCTCCTCATCATTGCAGTACCTATGCCACGACCACGACCTCTACCTCGGCCTGGTCCATCTTCAGCGGCCAATCGACCGCGGCCTACTGTAGTCACGACCGTGGTAGAGTTATCCTTTCCAGTAGAGTTATGCACGGCTCCGCTGCTAACAATCTCTCCCTTCCTAATACCTTCTAAGACAACCTGCACAAGGAAAACATGAATAGTTAACAAGTATGATTAAAATATTCTCTTCAAAGGGCTTTCAACGTATCACATTTTGGCAGATTCTTTACATAATGAAGACTGGAACTCGATAGAGGCATCATAACGAGCGACTAGACACTGACCTCCTCTTCCATATCAGGAGGGAAAAAGGCAAGAGGCTCCAGGACTTCCGGTTGCGTAAGCTGAGGTACTTCCGTAAATCCTTCCGGATATCTGGTGAAAGTCGATGAGCTCCCAACCTTCCTATAAACATCAAGAAGCTTACCCCTCGGGTACCGAAACATATTGTCCTGGAGAGGACTAGATTTCCCTTGACTACTATCCCATTTATCAGGAACAGGTGGAGCACCAATAGGACCTCCAGCCGGGGGTCCATGAAGTAGACCACTTCCAGAAAAATTTGCACGACCGCGACCGGCAGCAAAACCTACATTTGGCCCATCTCCTCTTCCCCTTCCCACACCAAAACCAGGTGCAAATTTTGGTGGGGTGGCTCCCGGAGGAGGAGCTTCTCCACGTCCGCGACTCATAAACGAGTGCGGACGCCATGCACGATCTCGAGTGGCATTATCAGATTCCCTCTCGCCTTCTCTATTATTTATTGGATTCGGAGTGTGTCTATCTCGGTGGCCCTCTCCTTCTTTCTCAGGCTCTGACCATTTCTCTCTCCGATACTCTTTGTCCTTGTCTTCTGGACCCCAACGAGTGCTCCACTTACTGTCTCTCCGAGCCTCAAAGCTAGTCTCCCTGTTAGCTGTGTCGGTCCACCTATCGGACGGAAGGCGACGGAGTTCTGTGGCGTCTCTACCTGCATTATTTTCAGCCCATCTCTCCCCTCGACGAGTTTCTGCAGTCTCCCTCTCTCCCTCTTTCCATCGATCCCTACGCGCGGCAGTGCTGTTTTCTCTTTCCTCTTCCCGCCAGCGATCACGACGACTGTTGTCAGCATCGCGTTCCAATGATATCGATCTCCACCAATCCCGCTTCCTCTCTGCGTCTCTAGTCACATCCCGCCCTCCGTCACGACCGCCATCTCTACCGCCTTCTCTACCGACATCTCGTCCTCCATCCCCACGGGCAACACCATCACCCCGCCATCGCTCCTTTATAAGAGCTTCACTAGTGAGCCCACCATGACTTGGGGTCCCCGGTGTCCGCGGGGGTTCCTGCAATTTCAAAGAGATGTGTTCCAGAATTACCAGACTGAGAGCATCATATCACTAACAAATGGCTTGGATCATTTTGATATATCTCAGCTGTATACCGCCAACGGTAAAGAAGTTTATGACCGATGGTGGTGCTAGCCAACATCGTTTCTGGGAGGAAACAGAGTTACACAAGATGGCCAGGCAAAAAGCGACGCAAACGGTCCTTCTCACTCGCAGAACCAAGTTCAGATATGCTCAGAGTCTGCAAGAGATGGAAAGAAGGAAAATTTGGCTGCCGCTACGAAATCGACAAAATCGACACAGGTTCATACTGGAAAGAGACCGAACCACGAGGGCGAAGAATTGTACCATGGTGGCAACGGGTGGTTTGCTTTCTGTAGGCTTGGAAAAGAGCCACTGCGGCGACAGGGGTATGATATTTTCAGAAGCGGCAATATCTGCACCCACTGTACACGGAACGAGTCAGAGACGTAGAAGTATCCATACTTCCGCACAGGAGAACAGGCGCAAACTTGTAATGGTGCTAGGCTACACATCACATGTGCATCAACTATTGTAATCATCAAGCTGATAAGAATGGTAGGAGCAACCTAAAGGAGGTCGGTATTCACATTTCGTGACGCCAGCTCGAAACCAGGAGAAATATTGGTTTTGAAAAGGCGTCAGGGAACATGGACATGGAAAAATCCTAGAAAGAAGAATCTAATGTCTAATATAACACAAACTCTGGGACATTTGAGCGCAGCTTGTACCTTTGAAATCAGAATCAGCTCCAAGTGACACCTTCGATGACCCCAGTATTCCGCTACCTTCGTCTGCGCCACAGGAATATGGACGCTAAGAGGTCATAATAGGAAGAGCCACGAACTCCATTGTCAGATTAGAAAAAGCAAGTAGCACGAAGAGCGCGAAGTGAGATGAGCACGGATGTCAACTCGGCCTTAAACCCTCCGACCATTAGTAGTGAGGGAGTGTTGGCAGACGGATTCGTCTACTGGCACTAGTCCTTCAAGAACCTAGGTTTGGCTTTCGAAGAACCCTTCAGCCCTACTTCGATGTGCAGCAGTAAGAAGTGAGAAGCAAATGAACGCGGGCAGCGCGGTAGCAGCATTTGACGAGCTTAGGTTCAACAGATTTTGTAAGATGCGTACGGGGCGTGTAGAACAAATTACGTCACATATATCATGAAGCTTCTACGTAACGGGCACGCTATTATCACTGCTGCAGTAACCGGAAAACTTCACAACTGCCAAGGCAAGCCCCCGTCGCGGAGATCCGAAGATGAGCCCAGAACCATATTCGAAGTAGAATAACACCCAGACAGCAGGGAATGTGATAACTTAGAAGCTCAACACAAGACCGGCGCATCGGGAATCTGACTAGTTTAGCTATCCTGCAGCCAGATGCGACTCTTCCCGGTCCAGCAGATGTCACACAGATTTCTCGAAACAGGGAGGCTGACCGGAAACCACCATTTGACATCATAACCGGATCATCGGATACGATCATCAAGACGCAACAGATTCTAAAGAATTCAGACATCACCTACGAGATCTTCGAGGTATAGCACTGGACCATGGGGCGGACTGAAAAAACAGCATAGCACCATGATGGCTAGCATACCAGCTCGCGACTCGGGTTAGGAAAACCTATCACATTCTCACGTCAATCTAAATTTGAACCGAGGATATGCAATTGAAGCTTCTAGGAAAATGACGGGATCCTCGGCATTCTCAAGAGGGGAGCATGCAGATTCTTGTAACCCTGATAAGACGAATCTGGACTCGCCATTAAGAATACCTTCAAAGGTACCACGAGTTCAAAGATTGTCCTAGGGTAGCTGATATGTCGACAATGGCCACTCGTCAAGACTGACGGGGCTCAGATCGGCACAACACAGAGAATGCGTGGGTCCCGTAAAGTCTAAATGATCACTGATCGCGTTAGAAGAGCACACAGAACAAAGAGAGCAAGAAAACACGCACCGCGTAGCTTCCAAGACTCGAGCCGAAGAGGCGTACCGCCACCACTCTCCCTCATTGCTTCACCTTTACTTTCCGTCATTGTGCTCAATGCGCTTTAACCCTAAAAAACCAAATAAAAAATATAAGCCTCTGCACTCTCGTATCCTCGCGCTCTCCCGCCCAGGTTCCTCTCGGCCTCTGCGCCTGCGCCTGCACACGAAGAGGAAATCGCAGAACCAGGAACTGCGGACGACGAGCCAGCCCAAAGAGCCAGCAGCCACGAGACCAGGACTAGAGTCTTCTGTACACTCCCCACCCGTCCTCTGCCCTCCTCCTCCTCCTCCTCCTTCGTCTACCACTGCCACCACCACCACACAACTCTCCACTCCGAAGGACACCAAATCGCCCCCTGTTGTATGCTTCCTCTGCCCGTACTCCACCCGGCCACAGCAACGACACTCAAGATTTCTCCCCAGAGTGAATCTCGAGCAAAGCTCATACCCAATGCGATTCTTCCTCGTCCCCCTCCTCGTCGCACCGCAGCAGCAGCGAGCAAGCAATCAATCGACCGATAGAAGATGGATAAGAAGATGAATGAGATTGCAGTGGTAGCAGGGAAGATGCAATGAAGCGAAAACAGCAGCAAGAGGATCAAGAGCGTATACCCAAAGCTAAGAAGAACCCACTCTCTTCTTCAGTTAATAACCTACGGTTATTACCCTGCGGTAATGCACCTCTCCCCTGCTTGGCAGGTCGGCCGTCCGGCTCTTCAGACCGGTCCCTGCGCTCCATCTCCAAATCGACATCTTAAGGTCGTGTACTTTTCTGTCTTTTCTGTGCCTTCGTGGCGCACTCCCATTGCTCCCTCCCGCGCTCTCCTGCCTGAGCTGACCCACTGTGCACATGCCCGGCCCGTCGCCCGTCATCTCGACTCCCGTGTGGATACCATTAGGGTTTGCGAGCCCGTTCATTCGCTAGCTACAAGAACCATCGCAACGAGTGTTGTTGTCTCATGGCTTCTCTGGCCGACGACGGGCATGCCATTTCGGACGACGTCGTAGGCAACCAGTTTGGCTTCTATGCCAGTGTTCTTGTACGGCTCTCCCAACGTTTCCCTACAAACCCTCGTTTGTCTTTTATTGTTTTAATATGAACTCGATTCCCCATTCATCCTGGAGATATCCCAGTGGTACATATTTCCCGTTGTGATCCTCTGGGCTAGCCCCCATCTCACCCTTTGGTTTCATCATGCACACTGTCCATACCTTGGCAGGTAACTTCCTGTTCACTTGTTGCGTATAAATGGTTTAGTCCTAGAGTTGCGATATGTATTTAGAAGTACGCTCTGAATCATGTACACACAATTAGATATTTCTCGTATCCATATTTAAGAAGATTCCCTAGCGCACATCATGCACTATATTTGCGTAATACAAATTCTATACGAAGAGAATCTGCTGGATTCAAGTGTTTCCTCTGCAGTGATAATCATCTCCTCTCTCTTTTTTTCTGCTCCACTCGTATATTTGAACACATGAACAAGTGCGCAGTGTAAAACTATCCATCCACATTTTTAATACGCTTTCCACGCTCTATAAGAATTCCTGTAATAAGATCTTCGTTAATATTTCATTTTCAGTTATTTAAGATCAATTTCAGTTATCATATCGCAAATATCAATATCTCACATCATTAAACATACAAGATTACAATGACTATTCAACTTTGTAGTGCCAATTCTTAACACTATTGGAACAACGCTCATCCTGATGATTAAGATAACTTTATAAAGAAAGAAGAGAAAGTGCATTCCATCAACTATGCTCTTCACATTCTGTAATTTGAATTATTGCTTACATCATTTTTTCAAATCACATCATCGTCCACTAATATCAAAATACTATAAGAGATCATATCACATAGTAATGAAATCTAAAATGTCTTGTCTTTGCTCTGGCTGGCAATTATTCTCTTTAACAAAACCATATTGTTATATCCTTGTATGGATGATGCTACTTGTATAATTCATTTCATTTTCTTGCTCCTCAATTGCATAGAAAATTCAAATTTGAAGTACCAAATTCAAATCAAACGTTAGCAGTTCTTGAAGTATGTTGGGTTTGAATGACTCTATGATTATATTTTGATATACTAACAAATATATTGCCATGATCAAAAGACTACGTATTTTTCTTAATAGTTGATCACCAAAAAAGTAAATTTCAACCTTGACCCAATCTAAAAAAAAAAGTTTTTAGTAATCACATTTTATCCCTAATCTTGGATAGTAATGACAGGTTTGTCAATTTTCTAAGAATAGTACCTAGTCCTTACACATATCCTTGAGAAAAGTTTGCAAATTCAATAAATTGTTTCACATGAGAGGATAGTGAATATACAAGATATTCTTCATCTTGTTTTGCAAAACTACTAACTCTACTTAATATTTATTGCATCAAGTATTCCTACTTACTCTCCTTGAATGAAAGAAACAAACTTTTCAATATGCAATTTGGATTATGTGCGATCACTTTCTCATATATCTCTCTATAAATGACTTTCATGCTTCATTATTATAACATTATATTCTAAAATACTATTGGTTCATAACACCCATAATCAATCTAGATAAATCACAGTTTATTAATCTAAAAATTCATTTCATGCAAATTTCCAATCTACATATTATGATGTCAAATTCAGTTAATGATATATTATATATAATTTTTTTATATAATTTTAACATACAAAAACTTTGCCCTTGAAATTGTGTAATCACCACAAATATATTTGTTATAGTTATACATATCTGATAACATTTTCAGCAAGAAAAAATTTGTAATATCCATGTTCAACAAAAATGATAGTATTCATGATATATGTTTTTCATCTTTAATAAAATCAATATCTAACAATACAATTGCATTTATTTTATTATTTCAAGTATACAGAGTGTAATTTTTACTAAAAATAACACACTGTACACTCTTTTTTATATATATAATTGTGTTAATTTTTTTATATCATCAGATTTTACAATACCATTTTTTGGGCTGAAATGACTAAGTTCTTGATGCAATATATAACGAGAAAGTAAGTTTGGGTTGAATAAATTTTGTATTTTGATGAGTTCAAGATAATTATATATATTTAAGCATGTTCTTATAGAAAATTTTAAATAATTAATAATATTCAAATGAGGTTAACTGGAATAATGAATATCATCAATTTTTTGCTTGAATTATCTTTCAAATAAAAAATATGATTAAATTTAACCTTTAAATAAGTATTAAAATGCTTTAACACGGTTGATAACAAAATTTTGTTCCTCAATTTGATTAAATATGGTTCAAAAAGAGATAGATTAAGTGATTTCATGTAAAATGCCGTCAAAACTTCACATATTTGAATGTGAAGTGTTTAGTTTTGTTAAAAATATATTTTAAAAAAATATTATGTAATTGAAAAAAATTTCTAAAATTTATATGGATGCAAAAATTTAGTTTTAAAGAAGTATTAAAAGCAAGACTGACGCATGATACAAATTCTGCTGATATATGCTTTATCTCATTATTTATTAACTATAGAAATTCATTCTACAAAAATCAAAATGTTTTCTTACTATAATAAGTATGACCCGCTAAGATTATCGACAATACATAATGAACTTAACTAATTTTAACAGTAACTGAATGATCAAGTTGATCTTATTATTTTTTGCACTTAAATTATGTATCTAAGTTTTGTGTTATCTTTATATTTTTATCGTGAATCAATTATTCTATAATATTCATATATATTAATTATGTACACGTTTAATATAATATGTAAGTATAATATGATTTTTTAAAAAATATCATGAAACAAATTTTATATTTTTGCAAAAAGATCAAAACACAATGATAAATTGTTATAAAAGTAACATTATGTTAGTCCATTTAGTGAAAGATTTCAAACACATATTTTTGTTAGTAATTCATGGTTTTATGAATATTCTTTTTGTTAAATGCATAAGATCAACAGATATAGAAAATAATTTTTGATTTGAATAGTACAAGTAAAAAAATTAAGAATATATATATTATTTATATATAAAAATTCATAAATATGAAAAAATCGTTCTTGATGGATATTCTAGTTGTAAAACTATAATATTTTGTCTGATTCAACGTACTATAAGATTTTGGTGAATGACACCTGTTAATAGTTTGTGACGAACTGCACAGATATTTCTGTTTGCAATTTCGTGTTGTTCTTTGCTTAAATTTGTTTATTTATTTAAAAGAAAAAAGAGTCAATGGTTGAGCAAGTGAAGAAAGTTGTTGGAAAATTATGTAATTGATTTTATTCAGATCTTAGTTAGCAAAATGAAATTACTAATAGCTATGTTTGCTTCAAAGTTGAACGATGTGAATATAGTTGAATTCATTTTCTAAAAATTAATGTAAATTTGTTGATTATATAAGATAGTACTTCTGTGCACATAACTTATGTATCAATCATGAATGATTTATAATAGATTTTTCCAACTATCATTTGCTATCGGTTGTTAATGTACGCATGCAAAACATTCGGTAACTGTTTACCATTTAGCACAATGTTAATAAGAGATAGTCAAATTTCACAATTCATCAATCCAATACAGCATTTTGATTGCGTTGACATTCCAATAACTTCTCTAAGATACGTCAGATAAGAATAAAGACAAATCGCACGAAATGCGTTGAAAAGAAAAACTGTTCATGACTTTATTTTCGTGAGTTGCTTATTCTCATATGAATAATTAATTTCATTAACATCTACACATGGGAAGCCACATGGATATCAAAAGCCATGGGTATGCCTCCTCACGTATGTATACTCTATGATGATTTACACTTGAATGTAGTCAACTTCTACATAATATGCAATTTTTGTGAGAAATGTTACTTCAAAACAACGAAATTCTTGGACGTTTAAATAACCGTTGGAAACTTACAAATAGTCTGAATCATAGGGTAGATATCGAGGGTTACACGTCCTCCACACATTCAATGACATTTCCCTGTCACAGTATTCAATCGGAGAGCTCTGAAGTGTTATGTGCACGGTTTGGGATTCTTCGGCCAGTGGAGGCAAGGACGAGAAGCAATACCAGTCTCTTTCAAACAATGGATGAAGTTAATCTCGCTCCATTCTTTATCTTTGCCAGATAGAGAATGGATAATTATGAACTTTCGAGGTACGAGGAGAGAGATGTGTCCCTGCTTCCCTTAAAAAAGAAAAACACTCGTGTAGCGACGACGATGGTCACTGGTGTTCAGATATGTCTTCCTCGTTCTTTGTGAAAGCGGGCAAGTCCGTCATCAATGAGTTCATCGTTTTGTCGGTGTGTGAATGTTCTCACACGAAAAAAGAACTCTTCGTGAAGAAATCGAAGATATTCCCCTTTCTGCGCACTTTTTGCTTTCTCGACTTTGCGAATTCTTTGGTCAGTATTGACTTCAATTTTAGACAAAGTACTTGGCCTTCACGAAAAATATGCCCTATGATATCGGATTTCTTTTTCTGACAGTCGGACAGTGTTTGGAATTATTAGAATATTCAAAGTCTGACAGAGAATAAAATTGTCACCCATCTCTTTGAGATACTCATAACTTGGGAGAGGTTGAAATACATCTTCAAACCAGAAGTTTTCGGAACCTCAAACAAGCGCTGATGTATTGTGCAAGGTGAATGTCACTGACGGACATGACATTGATTTTGATGGTACATGCTGTCCGCATCAGAGAAACATTCCAACACCATGGGCGCACGTTCACTCGCTGCTTGATGATCGCGCAGACACAGTATAGAGTTAGAGATAATAGCCGTCACGACGGCACTGGATCTGATTCATCGAAACAATGGAAGTAAACCGGTTTGTAATCCCTTTTGCAAGTACTGTCAAGGAGTGGAAACTGCTTTACTCCCCGAGAAACTGACTCATGACTTCTACAACCGTGGATACAGGTTCTCGGAAAAGTCGGAATGATACTTTAGATTCGAATGCGGGCAAAATTAGATGTTTCGAGACAACATATCACACTATAGAAAGGTGCCTTACACTATTCGTTTTCCTGCCCCTAGCCCTGCCGACGAAGAGTCGCTACGGAATAGGGTTAATGACTTAAGGCAGCCTACAAGTATCGAGAGAGAAGAAATTCTGTGCTTTGATCTCTACATAAGAGTGTCGGATTTTAAATAACTACTTTCTCTGCAGCCTCGTTCTTCTTTCGTTCTCAGGAAAGCACAGATCTTTTACAAAGAATCTGAAGATCAGCTCAAGCTACAAAACGAAGACAACCTGGCCTGTATCCTTGGTTGCCTATAGATCTAAATCTCAACGTCTTCACGGTGCGAAGAGGGCTCTTACATCCGCGGTCCTAAATGAAGATTTTATATAGTACGAGATAGCGTAGTACTTCATTTTTTACCCTTTTGCTCCTTCACGTCTTCGTACTCAGCCTCTTGATCTGCTCCAGGGGCACCTGGTGCAGGACCAGAACTGCTGCTTTTCAAAGCTTCGCCGATTTTCATCGAAGCAGTCTTCGCAGCGTTGACCTTTTGTTGAATTTCGTTTACATCTTCACCCTCAACAGCCTTCTTCAAGTCCGCCACCGCAGACTCCACAGCGTCCACGACGTCTTGTGGCAATTTGTCTTTGTACTCACTCAAACTTTTCTCGATAGAGTAAAGTGAGGTATCAGCATCGTTCTTGGCGTCGATTAACTGCTTCCTCTCCTGATCCTTTTGAGCGTAAAGCTCCGCATCCTTCACCATTTTTTGAATCTCTGCCTCAGACAAACCTCCTGAAGACTGAATAGTAATAGTCTGCTCCTTTCCTGTAGCCTTGTCTCGTGCAGAAACGTTCACAATTCCATTGGCATCTATGTCGAATGTGACCTCAATTTGGGGTACTCCACGAGGCGCAGGAGGGATTCCGACGAGCTCAAACTGACCCAGCATCTTGTTGTCACTGGCCATCTCACGCTCTCCTTGTAGGACCTTCACCCCAACTTGAGTCTGTGCGTCGGCGGCAGTAGAAAATACTTGACTCTTCTTCGTCGGGATAGTGGTGTTACGCGTGATGAGCCTGGTAAACACACCACCTAAAGTTTCAATTCCCAAAGAGAGGGGAGTGACATCCAGCAACAGGATGTCCTTCACATCGCCTCGCAAGACACCACCCTGGATGGCCGCACCCATGGCAACAACTTCGTCAGGATTGACACCCTTGCTAGGGTCTTTGCCAAATATCGAAGCCACCGTCTCCTGCACTTTAGGCATCCTCGTCATTCCTCCGACAAGAAGGACTTCGTCTACTTCCTTGGCAGAGATACCCGCATCTTTGAGACAATCCTTGCAAGGCTGTTTAGTGCGCTCGATCAGCTCCCGAACTAAATTTTCGAATTTGGAACGAGTCAACGTGATGTTCAAGTGCTTTGCACCGGACGCATCAGCAGTGATAAATGGCAGATTGATGTCCGTCTGGGGTGTCGACGACAGTTCGACCTTTGCCTTCTCTGCAGCTTCACGTAACCTTTGCAGGGCTAGCCTGTCTGAAGACAAATCGATACCTTGTTCCTTCTTGAAGTCATCCACTAGAAACTGTAGAAGATGGTTATCAAAATCTTCACCACCCAAAAAGGTATCACCATTTGTAGCCTTCACCTGCAACGAAGAAGAAAATACAAAGAATATGAGAGACATGATAAGCCAGAACATCTACGAGAACTTCAAAGACCTTCCGCGGAACTGAAAAGTAAAACCTCTACCTAAATTGTCGCAATTTCCACAGATTAGGAGATATGAGTCTCACATCTAAACTACTGTAAACATTGAACACAGAAATTGCCATGAACTTCAAACCAGAAATATAGATGAACTCTACGACCCCGTAACACCATCTCTACGGGAAAACCTCACCTCAAAAACACCGCCAGATATCTCCAGAATGGAGACATCAAATGTTCCTCCCCCAAGATCAAAAACAGCCACAAGCCCCTCCTTCTTATCCATACCATATGACAACGACGCTGCAGTCGGTTCATTGATGATACGAAGAACATCCAGCCCGGCTATTCTTCCTGCATCCTTGGTAGCTTGGCGTTGTGCATCATTGAAATATGCCGGCACAGTGATTACTGCTTTCGATACTGGTCGTCCAAGGTAAGATTCAGCAGTCTCCTTCATTTTACCTAGAACAAACGCCCCGACTTGGCTTGGGGAGTATTGCTGTCCACCAGCCTCGACCCAAGCATCTCCGTTGGGGGCCCTCACAATTTTGTAGGGCACCATCTTGGCTTCCTTCGCGGTGAGAGGGTCATCAAACTGCCGACCGATAAGGCGTTTAGTTCCGAACAAGGTATTGGTCGGATTCGTTACTGCTTGACGCTTGGCTGGAGTACCAACCAGACGTTCACCTTTCGGGGTGAACGCCACCACAGAAGGAGTCGTTCGAGCACCTTCAGAATTCTCGATCACTCGAGGTAACTGTACAAAACGTAGATGATTTAGAAAAAATGAACCTGATATTCAAAAATTTACAGCATATTTCCAAAAGTCTGCAGAATATAAACAGCCACGCCTGTAGGGGGAGACGAGGCAGGCTAAATGCTAAGCGCCCGGCCATACCAAACGGAATAGTACTTCTCTTCCTATTCATTCAAAAGCCAGCAGAACCAAAGCATACCACATTAAACTTATCAAGAAGTAGAAGTATTGAAACCACAGTACCTTCCCTTCCATGACAGCCACGCAGGAGTTTGTTGTGCCCAAATCTATTCCAATCACGTCACTTCCTCCTCCAGACTTGACACTGCAGGGCGGCGGTCCAAGGACGCGAATCAGCTTAGAACCAAACCTTGCTTAAATATGAAAACAAGTCACATACATGTAAGGTAAAGATTTGCACGAACGTTAACTAAATCACCATAAGTTGGAACGACCACACTCTACAACTGACGAAAATGGTTCCCTCACTTCATAGCACCGATTATTGGGCACCCACTTGAATTCCTTTCTAATTTAGTACCCCGTTGACTATTTCAATTCTCAATAATTCTGCGTGTATCATAGCCAGACCCATCGGGGAAAATGCTTATAAATGTATAGAGATTTATGTAGAAACAACGCCATCAGTCGAATGGGTGACAAAACTGGTGAGAAGTGATGAAAGCCCGGACGGTTCGCGACAAGGAAAAACACAATGAAACTTATAAAGCACTGCAAACTTGTCAAGCACAAGCAGAAAATTGCAGGTATTGGGTAGACTCAAAGAGACAGACTGTACAACGACAGGACGAATGTCTAAGATAATCTTCTTCGATCATATCGACTGTAAGTTGAATCCTGCTGATATACTTGAAGAAAATATTCAAGGAACCTTTGGGCCATAAACCCAAAATCACTGATGACGATCGATCAATTGATGTACAGTAAGTAAAAAAGAAGGGCACAAGAGAAGCTAGAGTGAACATACCTGTAGCTTCGCACAAGGTTTTGCCTGTACCAGGATACCGCCTCTGATGCAAGCGATCCATGCCTGGATTGCGCAGCTGCGACCTGTGAAAGGACAAGACGCAACACATCGTTAAACAAACAATCCCACTACCGGGATACATAGTTTGAAGCCTCTAATCCTGTATCCAATTTTCAGTATGCCGAAAGACCAGCAGACCTGATCAGCAGACACTTCTTTTCCTCAAATAGGAGGAAAGTAACCTATCTTTTGCCGATCAAAACAGGACGTGAGTATCACAAAGAGCACCGATGACTTCAACTGATGACTGGTTCTCCGATGATCATAATTACGTAAATAATCTTTATAACCCTTGGCTGCCGGAGACCTGAGCTAACTTGCTGATCACCTACCTCGCGATGACCAGAAGGAATCTTCCGAGCATTCAGACATGTCTTGGCTCAATTTCACTTCTAAAATGACAAGCGTCCCAATACAAGGGAGTGAATTGCAGCCTTATCTTGATTCGTACCAGGTAAGGGTACAGGAAGGTAATCTAAGCACATAGGAAAATGAGTGGAACACAGAACACGTAACCAGCGCACGCACAACATCGAAGTTGCACGAGGAATGCCGCAAAAACATACCTGAGAGGCACCGTCGTGAAAGGAGGAAATAAGACCTTTCGATTTCGAGGCCGATCTAAGGACTCGGCCTGCCAGCAGGCCCGCCATCGCCATCCCTTAGACTTCGGATCAAAAACCTTCGTTCTACAAGAGAAGACAGGGTTTCAGAGCACTGATCCTAGCTGACACTCCGCCCGCCTCAATAAAAATGTCGCAAACCGTGGCGATCGAGGAGTACACAGTATAAATGAAGGCAGCGACTTCGGCAGGGCCTGCGGCGATCTCTCCCGTCGCTGCAATTCCTTGCGCCTCAAGGCGAAAAAGGTCGAGGGTCAAATCGGGAGCAACACCAGTCGCTGTTTACTTGTTCCACTTGGGGTCACAGAAGGAAGGCGGAGCAAGGGGAAGGTGGGGAGGGAACTGGACCTTTCTGGACCTGTCTACGTGGACTGCGCTACGCACGAGTCGCGGGCGTCGATCGGCGCCCATCTGACGGACGACCGTCGGAGATGTGGGAGCTCTAGGTTTCAGAGTCCTGGAACCTTCGGTACAGGCCCTCGCTGGGGTTTTAGACATGTCGCTTAATTTGGAGTGCGCATGTTACTGTGGTCGTCTTACGTACCACGTAACTGCAGTCCGTTCGTTTTAGGGATTATCTGCGCACTGTTTGCAGCACTGCGTTTGCCTCCTCCGAGCCCCGCCAGTCGTGTCCGTTTCATGTCGGTTTCAGGCCAGGGGGTACATTTGTTTTTCCTACCTGCTCCTCTGGCCCTTTCCTTGGCTAGGCAAGTCCGAAACCAAACCAAAAAAATAGGATATTAACTCTGCATGCGTCGATTTTCCCTCTCCTCTCTGTGATTCTTCTCCAAGTTTCTCTCCTCGGCTTCATTAATGTTGCTCTCTCTACCTGATCAGCGAGGTCCGGTACATCTTTGACCGAATGTTGGATGAGGAATCCACACGAGTCGACAGAATTATCATGAATGTGCTGGTCTGAGAATTATACATTATGCTGTTTATTCAATTCTCAGATTCTCGTGAGTTCCTGTGAATCCTTATGCTTTGTTCCAACTGCTAATCCTCGGTTTGGTCATTCCAAGTTTGGGTAGGGACGTCCAAAAGAAACTCTTTTCACTTCTCTCGTACTCATTCAGTGCAAGAGTGTGTAGATTCTCTCTGGACATTATTGCCAGGTCCATCGTTGCCAGGCTCCGATGCAACTGTCTGAACGTCATGGGCGAGGAGTGTCCGACAGCCAGGTCCTGAAAACGCATTTGTTGTCACGTGCTCAAAACTGATCTCAGCCAGCCACTCGCCGTGTGGACTGTTCCAAGCTCGTGCAAGCTCCATCACTTGCTATCACGGTGCCATCACAGATGAAGTGTACAGGAACCAGCTAAGAGACTTTTATGTAGAAAACATGTGAAAGTAGATTCCAAACACTTATTGAATCAAAAGTAATTCGAAATTACTCCATTACTATCAAGGCCGCCGAGGAGCCGAGCGTGAACCTAGAATGAATGACAGTGGATGGTCCTTAAGCGTTAAAAAACAAACAGGACACGGTCGCCTGAGTCGTCACTACTAACTCCGATATCTAAGGCCAACATCTACAACAATGCCTCCTGGAGGCAGAAACTCGCTCTGCGATGACTACAAGCAACTTTGAAAGCATACGAAGACCGAGCACTAACTTCTGGTGAAGAAACACCGATATTTCCGATGACAAAAGCTGCAATACTATTCCATCGTTCCCTATACCACTGCCTGCTCTGGTGTCCACCAAATCAACATCTCCTTGACTGGAAGGGGTGGTGCGAATTAGAATCTCAATCAATTTCCACCTGAACGCCTTATTCCAGTGGTGGATCCAAGTACCGATGTCGATACACCTTGGGCCTGCATCTCCTTGAGAATGTTGGCCAACCAATCCAGACCTTCATAAAGGCCTTCCCCTTTGGGAGCGCACGTTCCTTGAATGTGCCATCGCCTATTTTGAAGGCTGTACAGACCCAGCGATTCGCATACTTCTGCAGGGCTCATAGCATTTTTCTGCATGCACGCCAACCCCCACTACTTCGTCATTTCCCGGCCGAAAAGTTAGACCTCACAGGAATATGAACCCTCTTATTCACACAGATCGTCTTGAACTTCAAGTTATAACGTCTGAAGTTGCATGAAAGCACCCACTCCGGATGCTCATTAATTATACGTAGGGCGACCATAGAACACCAAACAGAGATCCAGAGATTCTTGGAGCTGTCGTTAGATGGAAAACCAGCCAGAACTCAAAGCCAAGACCAGAGATCCAACGAACTTCTACAAAACGACCTATGTGCATATGGCCCACACCCGGAGAAACTGGATGCATAGTATGGGAAAAGTGATACCGCGTAGGAAAGTCAATTGACTGAATCGATTCATACATCAAGCAGAGTGAGAACTGTGATTTCTAGTATTATGGAATCACAAACTGCAATCAGATGATCATACTTGTCATCGGAGGTGGACAATCTTCGATTGTAACCAACTCCCGTTCTGAAGGAAACTCAGGGACGGAAGTGTTCTCTTGTGTACAACATTTTGCAGAGTTCCTTGACAATGATAAAGATAATTACAAATAGGACATGAAAAACCCGAGGGCCTTAACATGCAAGAGGACCAAACAATTCAGGGCCACGGTGTGCTTCTCAATTGAATGGAAAGAATCGAATGGAAAGAAACATGATTCCAAAGACTGAAGAGAAAATAATAGATGCAAACACGCAGATGAACGAAGAGTAGAAAAACGGCGGAAGATAGAAGCGTTTGTATGCAGTAAGTAGTGAAAAGAATCCCGCAGTCGATACGGCGATACTAAGAGACTAGGTGAGCGGTATGGAAGTTCCAGCCAGACGCAAGAAAGGCATCCAGTGACCATCAACAATATCTGAACGAGAAGAAACATATTCCGGTCACATACTCGGCTGCTTCATCAGTGGGTACCAAGGTGCATAGCAGAGCCCAACATTGGGTGCCCATACCCATGCCCACGCCCAAACCCACCCATGCCCATGGGTTTTGGGTGACAATATTTTTCCATGGGTGGGCACAAGTAATGCTAAGGGCAGTGTTTGTCAAGATCCAACCAAGAATTGGTGTAACCGGTTAATACACATAACACAACTGGCGTAATTTGAATAGCATGGGTGGGCACAGGTAATGCTATGGGTGGGCATGGGTGGGCTTAGGTCTCTGCTGATGGTTATGGTCTGGTCTGGGTGCAGATTTGAAGTAAAATGTTGGCCTCTGGTGCATAGGTTTTATAACAGGATCGCGCTGGGTCTGGAAACAACGCAAAGAAAATCAAGAGCTGTTGCCCACACACAGATCATTTACAAAATATATAGGGCTCAAGCAGACTAAGATTACTCCCTCGCAAGCCTGCCCACAACTAACAACTTGCACAAGTTGTCTTCTCTAAAACAAGTTTGATACATATGGGGTTCAGTACGTAATGTCCCACCATGTCTTGCTTGTTGGCGAACACAAGAATAGCACTGTTCCTCATCAACGGGTCTTGCACGATCGTCTGCGAGGAGACCCACCCAGTTAGTAAACACCAGTCTGATCCACGAGATCCGTCTGAACGATTCAAAACCACGAGTTCCAATTTAAATTGACAAGCAGGCTTCCATCCATAAACTATCTCAACACACAGAAGAATCATAAAAGTGAACAATATTAAAGAGGTACCTGGAACTCCGCAGCTGCCTTATCAATTCGCTCTCTATCTAATGAATCGACCACATATATCTGCGAACGTACAAACAATTATCGTAAGGCACTAAACTGCCAAAAAGAGACTAGAGTGCTCCATTTCGCTCAAACAAATGTTGTTCCACAAAATTCTTTGCGTCGTATTCTCGTGAACGCATGATTATTACTGTACAACGCTCAGAAATACGCGAGAGCAATCGTCCATCATAAACGCAGAACACAAACCCTTTCTAGCTGAAAGACCTAAATGCAAGACGGCACGGATCAAGACTCGCAAGACGGCACGGATCTCCCCACTCGGCTTAAACACATTATCCTATAAGAAACGCAAACAAAAGCGAGCTGATCTTTTGAACTGTTTGAAAGGACTGGCAACCGTAGAGAGGGGTTGCAATATGGCATTAAAACAATAATCCCTTGAGAGAGCTGACATAGTTTCCACCACAACAACAACGAGACAACTAATATAGATCGAAAAGAGACATCTCACCAAACCATCAGTGTTGTTGAAATAATGCCTCCAGAGTGGCCTCAACTTTTCCTGACCGCCGACATCCCAAACCGTAAATTCGACGTTCTTGTATTGTACTTTCTCAACGTTGAACCCTGTCATCAATAAAGTAAAACCGAATATCAGCAGCCAATTCAGTACTAAAACCACAAAGGAAACTGCCATTTGATAGTGTCGCAGACAAGAATCACAAATTCTTTCGACCATACCTATTGTGGGCACTGTGGAAAGGATTTCTCCTATGTGAAGCTTGTAAAGAATGGTTGTCTTGCCAGCAGCATCTAGACCCAGCATCACCACCTACACAAAATAGAGTTGCACAAATACAACCAGGTTACGATAAGAGTAACAAAAATATTGTTACTGTTCGAAGTTGCGTGAGCTCCACAGCAATAAACTGGACAAATGTACATTGTGCATATTCTTAGCCAGTCTCATCGTCCTTCGGCAAGGATATCGACCAGAATAGTTTCACGTGCCGTGCCACAGTTTTGCAACTTCTCAGTAAATTGCATAAGCCGCAGTTTAACGACATTGGGGGAGAATCTTTAAAATCATGTAACAGTAGCCAAAATACCAAAGCCTCTGGGCATTCAGAACAGCGTTGGGGACAATCAAATATACTATTGTTTGTAGTGACGGACCTAGGACTGGATCTAAACACAGATATATTGAGCTCAATGTCATTGATCACCTCCAATTTCACCCTATGCTCTTCAATAATTCCAGGTCCACAACCGACGACGACTATTCTCAGCTCCAGTTTTCTGTAGTTTACAAATTAGCCTGAACGTTCTGGTAGCTCCATTGTGCAGGATAAGTATATGACTAAACTAAAGGCTGACATCATGTACAAAGTTGCCGACTGATTGGAAGAGAGTACAATGGCTGTAAATACATGAGACCCGACACCTAGCACACATCCTTCTCACCCTGAGGTGTGAATGGTTTGTGCTAGGTGCTCCGCCAATCAATCGTGAAAGAATATCATTCACGAGCAGATTGGATCCTACAAATTAGAGATGACATTAGAATCTATTCCACCTCTAATCACTGCCAGCTTCCAAAACTTCTTGCACAATTTCTTCCCAGCAACGAGCGTCTCTCTTCTTCTCGTGTATATGCCGCCAATTATTAAGATTAAAGAACAATTTCTTTTTCTTAAATTGTCCGATTGGACCAAGTAATAACAGATTTACAGCTGTAACTGGCCTGAACACTAAGGATAATGATGAACAACTTGTGTGACCGGTCAATTTATGAGTCATTTGATCGCAGAGATGCTAAACGAGAGACGCGTAGATCACCGATACTTTGAAAGCAACAAAAGACCACCTTGGCTGCCGGGAATTTCCCAAACGTTCACTGATTTGGTCCGTGGTTCGTCCGTGAAAGGTTCCAGCCCACTTACCGATTCCCGAGAGCTAGTGACCTATGACAGCTTGAGAGATCTCGCGCTCGGCAAGATTGATTGTGCGGGAATAGTACTTACTCGCATCTCCTTGTTGCCAAAGATGCTGTCAAAAAGCTTCCGAAACGTTTGCCCCATCGTAATGTAATGTCCATAATAAGGAGGTCCAGCCCGTTTAGTCAACTCACTGGTTCCATCCCTCAAACTCACGCACAAATCGAACTAGCTGCAACAGATCCACAGATTTTGCTATCACTCCAGACAGGCCCAGTGATGAATTCTTCTCTCTCCCTCCCTCCCTCTCTGCGCGTTTGTCGCCCTCCTGAGCTTCCTCGTTCCCTCCCTCTCTCCCTCCGTGCTATTCGCACATCGAAGAATCCAAGTCTCAGACTAAAACCTATAAGAAGGCAACTGGACAAAGAACAGGCTGTCCCGATCACTCAGCCAGACGTCTTGAGGCTCACAAATTTCAACCTCGCATGCCCATTTTGCAATCTGTTTCGTTCCTTCAATTCTAACCTCTATAACATGTGCCTGTCTTCTCACTTCTCCTTTCTGCCGAATGTTCTGCTGGTTTCACCTTTCGCTTTCTCTTCTTTTTTCTCTTCTTGACCTCACTTCCACTTCCGGGCACGACTTTGCTACGCTCGCCTTCTTGATCAACACTCCCCACACGTATAACATTTGCCCATCCGCTATTTTCGCTGGGCGTCCATTTATTTGGCTCCTCCTGTGTACAATACACAATTTGCAGTTGCGCTGGACTTTGTAGGTTACAATTTAGGAATAAAATAATGTGTCACGATATATGCGGATTATAACTTATGCCTTACGTAATGCGTTTCGAGCTGACTTTTTCTTTGCCTCGACAAGCAGCACCCTGAGTCACTAAAGTTGCGAGCGAGTCATCACATTGTCCAAGGTTTCCTCTTCTATCCAGCGGCGAGGATGAGTATTATATACTTGTGTTAATTCTTTTGTACATTTCATTGCGTAGATCACCGCAACTGCAATTGCCGTTAACTTTTTGATTGCTGGTGTTTCCTGTAAGAAGTTGAGTCCCGTGGAAGAACTCACCGTCTCCATCGACTCATCCGAAAGGGAGTACTGGACAACAAACTTTCGCTGACATCAAAGACGTACTCTTGCTTCGAGCCCCACGATAACACTTGTCCAACTGAAATTCTTCAAACAAACTCACTCCTCCGGTATTTACGCAATATAAAAGATAAGACTGACACGGAAAATCACGTACAGTATTCTCATGTCTTCTAATCGGTCTGGACGTTGTGAGAGTACGAGAAATCGACGGCATTTACACTGATAATACCGACATTTAGAGCGCCTACTGGTTGTGATGACTTTCTTCGCAGTCATTGATAATTGGCGTGCTTGACCAGTTATACTGAAATTGGTGAAGGGCGTTTGTATATGCAACACAACTCGCTCTAATCCAGAGACTACGGTTTCTAAAAGTACAAGTGAGATGAGTAACCAAACACAATCGCCTGTTCGACATCCTTCAGTATTCCACAACGAGTGGTAAACTCGAGTTCTGACGGAAATATATGTGCATGTCCCTAGTTTGAAACTGAAGACCTCTTCATCGTAACATTTTTAGGCAACTTTCTAGATCCTAAGGCTTTCAATCGCAGATAAACTCCTTCATGTAGGATTCAATTTGTTTCTTCTCACATACTTAAATGATTACTACTACACGGTTTGACTCAGGTAACACGATATTCCCTAAATCCTCAGACTACACGAAATAGGAACTGCGTTTGTGGAACAAAATAACATGGAGCAAAATCGGAACTGGTACCTCAACGGCCTGATTTCAATGGGAATCGACAAATTTCATTCGAAAAGTGAAACCACTTGTCATACGACAAGTATTTTGATTAGCTACAATTTAACTCTACACTTTCGATAAATCTCTCTGTATCTATTTGACGATCTCCCCATTCATCTGAATACTACATGAATATACATTCTGCTCCCAACAGGGCCCTACAACCAGCCCTCAATGCTTGCTTCCTATCTTAACACTATACAAACCGGAGCTCCTGTAGATGCAACTCCTGACCGAGTAATCCCAGAATACTCGAGTGATGCAGATATCAGAACTGGTAAGTTTGGTCTCTTAGAAATTCCTCCTCAATGTTGAATCAGACTATTGGAAACTATGAGCGAATGGCACACGTACGAACAGCTGTCCGTAGAGAGTTACAACAGCTGACGTGTGATGAGCATCTATTTTAGAAGGCAAGTTGATAACCTGCATCCAACCAAAATTGGCAAAATATAAAACTTGCACAAGAAGGTCAAGGTAAATCACCTACTGCTAACGTCAAGCGAGTCTCACTTAATCAACGACATTATGAAAAGATTGAGATGATTAAGCTAGACAAAAGGAAAATCTTCATGAATCATATTGGACCAAGTTATTAGTATCAAACTAGGGATAAATGAGGCATCTGTCCATCACTGCGTTGTCTCTGCAACACAAGCCATTTCACTTCTTTAAGGCAAAAGCTCACCTTCCTAAACGCTGTAACGCCCCAAGGATTGCTGGGCTGTTCGGGGGATCCACATATAACCACTCGTCCACCTTCTTCACACTGGATTCTTACCTGTCAGACATCACTACTAGTGAATCAAGGAAGAAAGTAGACCATTCCTCAGACCGAAGGCAAATAATTGCCTAGATACATTAGCGCAACCTTCATCTATGACCGATAATTATATCTGCAGAAACAATTGATATCCTGGTGATATACAATTTGTAAAATGTGAAGAAGCGTCCTACAGTTAAAAGGTAAATTTCGACTGAAATAGAATAGTTAAAAAAAAGATATGTCTCCACTGGCCATGATATAGTCCGCAAATTCGGCAGAAGAGTTTTACCTCTTCGCGAGCAAGGCCTGGAACAAGGGCGTAGATCTCGTAGCCGTCCGTCTGCCAGGTACATTCATCCAACTTAAAAGTTAGTAGAATACTGTGGTAAACAATGCAGCGTTCATGAACTTCACATATCCTCAGCTGGCAAAGCAAGAGGTCAAAGTGACTAACGGACAACCGAAAATTCTTAAAGACTACAATAAGTAGGTCACAGAACTCATTTGTCCAGAGACGATACTAGATGCAGACAATGCTGCAACATCTCATTTTAAACAGTTCGGGAACAAACTCCTAATATTGTAGATAGAAGGCAAACAGCAAAAGCTATACAAACTAGGGTCCCAAAAAACCCCTATTCTCTAGATAGACAGCTATCTTGGCCACTTTTACAAATCGAAGTCTTTTTTGCCCCAGCTTACTCCTCTCAATCTGTTATTCCTAGCAAGGCACGGCTAGGGCACAGTGTCTACTCTCTGCAGGCTGTGACATGAAGCTACTCATGAGAAAATTACTTTTTGAAAAAGAAAAGCCGCGTGGTACTCGTCATATGGAGCCGTATGAACACGGAAGAATGAAGCGAAAGGAAGGGGTTCCAGGGCCTCAAGTCGATTTTGAACTTAGGCGAGTCAAGCGTTAGTTGTTGAGCAACTGGAGGATGAATGAAGTTCACCAACAGAATAGATCTCTTCCTATGTGTGAAACCGACGATATTGGACCTATTACACTTAACAAAATGGGTTTTACTTATTCATTGCCGTTTGGTTGTAGATAATAATTCCCAGGAAAATCCCTACAGAGCTATATAAAGCTTCAAACGAGTGGAAACCACCCGTCACTGAAATTAGAGACTGAAGACTGCAAACTTTCATCTTCAGTGCTTGAAAACCCCAAGAATCAGATGCAGGTGGCAGAGGTGATGCTCAACAACCAGCTCCACATCTGCAGGTCAAGAGACATGAGGGTCAACATACTTACAGGTTTTGGACTGCCACAGTACACTAAATTTAGTGTAATGTGTAGAAATTGAACAGACAAAAACCAGGTGGAAAATGTTGCAGTTCCGACACTGGAAGTTGGTTGAAGAAAGACTTTCTGAAGGGTAAACCACATGATTCAAACAGGAGATAAGTATGAAAAGCTAACATTGATTACGAACATTGCTTAAAATGCATCGAATTCCAGAGAATGTTCGTAATCAATGTTAGCTCCCTGACACGTGGAAGAAAATAACCCGATAAGGAAAGTTTAAGTGGCCATTTAGAAAACTAATAAGACATGGCGAATATACCAACGAAGATCAAACGTTCGTGGATTGTGTTCCACGAAGTTCGACATATTTCCTCCAGACAGAGAAGTCTAAATGACGTAAAATATTTCGCACTCTCGTATAGATAGGCATGTCATACCCACTGAGAGTGGCAACTATTGCCAAAGATGAAAGCATTTATCTTTCATCTCGACATTCAACACCTCGAAAAAATCCTCGACGGAAATATTTTACGAATATCTGTTGTGTATAAGGACAAACCAAAAAATGGGCGTCAAAGTTCACTTCGCTAGAGAAGAGAACAAGTGGAACCTCATCGAAATAATTACAAATTCGGGACTTTAATCCTATTAGCTACGTTCAACACACGAAGCCTAAGCGCGGATATTACAAGTTGGGTTGCGCATGAATATGCTTCATCCAACGCTTGAAAAGTATGAGGTTGGACTAAAAAACCAACTCGCGCAACAGGCGCACCATAATCCAAGGTACTTCACTATTTTATGTTTGATTGTTGGAACTTGAATTTAAAACAGAAGGCGGTGAAGAAGAAACTTATTGTCGGCAACCTGAACTAACTTCTCTTAATGAAAACAAGTTAGCTAATACAGAGTCCGAAAAACTTCGACGCAATATATGGAGTAGGAATTATCACTTGTTATAAAATTTGAAATATATATCTATATATATGTTAAAGCTTCTATAGCTGAAAGGGCTCTAGGTGTATATCGAAGCTTTTATATATTAATCGACATATTTGATATCAACGTCACGACCCACAAGAGGATACATACCTGATAAGCGATGAAACATAACTTGAAGTAAATAATTATACAATGAATAGGTTGTATTGAGCCAATTTTTACAAGAAGTTGCATTTACGCTTTTCAAACTATTCTAGCATAGCAGATCGGTATCAGGCAGCGTTCAAAGTGCCAAGTTATTCCATTAGATGAAATATTAAGCATACAATTTTTAGCTTAAGACCCACCGAGAACTCTGGAAAGTTTACTTGACAATCAAACAAATAGTGGATTTTGTAAAAGTGTTATCATCCCAATGATAAATCATCTCCATTTTTGTAAACCGAGTCAAAGGGACAAGCTACCTCCCCACAAGGCCACAAACGCAGTGCAAATCGTCTGAGGGAGAAACAGAGGAAATCTGGAGGGTGTATGCCTGGATCCTGTTCAAGAGTCATTTGGAACTGGATATTGCTGAACAAGAAAGGACTTTTAAACTGACATTCTTCTGTAACCGGTGATGACGAACGTTTAGAAAGTTTAACGACCCATAGCACGCTAAACAACAAACAGATAGGACAATGAAAGAAGCAGTCGCGTAATGGCATCACTAAAAAACTGACAATAGTCATGAACACAACAATGATAGGAGTGTATCTGACGAGCACAGTACTTACATTTCTGTATGCATTAATTTTGACCCAGTCTGCAGGAGGGCCGTCATCTGTTATTACTAATTTGAGACCTTTCATTGGCTCCATGCTGGTGCTTTTAGTACCGTGCTTTGACCGGTCCTGCTTTGCTGACTTCTTCAACAAAGGCCCAGCCTTTGAGATATTTGCACCGGCACTAAGAGCGTTCTCAGAAGGGACGTCATCCAAGGACCGAGACCTAACTCCTTTTGCTCGAGCAACCTTTACAGCTCGCTCCACCAACGAAGCAGTTTCCTTACGTTTCGTTCCACCTGGGGCAAACAGTTGAAACAGACGGATTGTACAGAAGGTAGTTTCCAACACTCGAGAATCAGAAATTATGTACACTTATGGGGACCAAGCCACCTACAAAGGATTAACAATTAGAAAAAAGACAAGATAACACACAAGAAACAAAGTTGGGCATACCCAAACTCTTCAACTGCTTCTCCTTCTTCAACACGCCGCTCTTTTCCTATCAACCCCACATTCCCATTCCGGCAACATCTACGTCAGTACATGACGGTTTTACCTGCGTCTAATAAGGAGTAACTTTGAAAGTCCAAGTAAAAAGCATCAGTTTCCGACATCCAACTCAACTTGGCATCTACAAGTTGGACTTGCCCAAGCAGACTCCATAAAAGAGGCAAACACTTCGAGACTCTACCTACACTTAGTACTTCCCCACCATTGGTAACTCCCACATGCTGGTCAAGAAGCTCTACCTTGATTATGGGATCTCCAACCTCTCCATTACCAGCTCTTTGAGAGTGCCAACCTTGCATGGCACGGGCAGCAGCGTCTCTCCTCGCTCTCCCAGATCCAGAGGCTGCTGCTGCATTCGGCTGAGGCCGCCACCAGGAAGCAGAATCATTGTAACACCGCACATGTAAATTTTACAAAAAGCTTCTAGGTTAAAGCCCATCTTACTGAGTAGTTCTCCATTACAAACCATGGCAAAGACTTCTTCAACTGACAGTTTGTCTTAATGTTACACCGATGGAACATCTACGGCATCTAATGTATAATTCACAGACTTCCGAAGACTGTAAGAAGGGCATGTTTCACTTATTTCCTGCTCTGATGACCTCAGCAAACTAAGCCTTAATCCCGTGCTTCCTGTGACCGTCACTTCCGTGTTACCACACGGCCTTGCCTTGTGGCTGAAATTACCTGCGAAGAAGGAGTCGTCGGAGACATTGCAGCTTGGTTTTCAAATCCAGAAAGCAATGCATCTCCTTGGTTTAGGTCTTTTCCTCCAAAACTTGAAGGTAGACAACCACCCGTTTGAAATCTCTCATAATCCAACAGTGCCTGCATTGCCAGAAACAATTAAACCAAGGTACGGCCGACTGGAAAATGGATAAAAGCAAATCTTTTGAGTAACCTGCACTTGCTAGAGTTGCTACTGCCTACAATCAAACATAACTTCTGGGGATAAATACTATAGATGATGAGCTGAGAAAATCTAAGGTCAGGAGAGATGTAACTTCATCCCGTAATCAGCCTATGCGGCGACTTCCATAACTACTTCGAAAGAGAACCTTATTTGGAAAGGTACAACATATCTCGAACACTAATGTGCAGATTGATGATGGAGGTGATCAAATCAGATCACCACTCTAATCACTAATCAGAGTAGCGCAACGAGTTGAAGTAGTACATTTTAGTACGAAAAGCCCAGCAGTTAAGCTGGCCACACCCTGTGGGAGGTCTTAACAAGATCCTCGCTTCCCCACACACCAAACGCAGTATTGCCTATTTTCAAAACAGAAAACCGCATGAACCCCAATAAACAACGTCACAGGACTTAAGGTGGCCAATTCAACCTACCAAGCAGGGAACTTGGATGATTCCATCTTATCAACCAACTCTGCAAAAACTGAGCAACTACAACGCTTTCTCAAGGAATTACCTTCTCATAGAAGCCGCGGAAAGACCATGAAATCGTAGTACAAGTCCTGGCATCCGACAACAACATCAGGAACATACTCATCTTCAAGTATTCCTATGTCATTCACAGCAGAAGTTCAACAGTTGCCTGCCGTTCTTAGGACTCTCCTCAGTAACTCCCCGACTACAATCTAAATACCTTAGGATGCAAAGACCCCAGACAACCTACTTAAACCTTTCAAAGCTGAAAGGTGAGTTTACGTTAGATTGGTAAAAAACTTAAGACCTTTTCGGATCCCAGACATTGCTATTCCAAGAACTTTAGTTATATCCTATATTCGGTGTATCAGATGTCACATTAGACAGCAGACGATCAACCACAGCACCTAGGTAGTGACGCGTAGCCCGAAGATCAGACACATAGCAATGAGAATAACCATAACCAACCATGGAATACAGGAGTAAAAGGGCAATGAACTAAGGTGCACTCTCTACGGGCCGGCACTGTGTATGCAAACGGGGACTAGTGACCATCATAACCACCTGAATGGCAAGCATCTAATTGCCATGCAGCCCGCCAGCGTCATCAGTGTGTACACACATGCACAGGTTTCTATACACCGCGTATGTGCTCAGAAGATATTTGACCAAGCTGAGATTCACTACAAAATATATACTTTCCCAAACTGAAAGAACTAACTTGTAATCAGGTCAGAATAATTAAAAGGCCGACCATCCGGGTACATGTGTTTATGTATAGCCATCAGTGAAGTTAGTAGTATACATTTCTTTTAAGTTCTTTGATGAGATCAATAGTGATAAGTATAATCTCATCTATTTACAGGTATAAATTACTCCTTACTGAGCGAAGTTGGAAGACAAGGATTTAACTCAAACGTGCATCACATCACTCACTTGGGAGGTTTGAACTGTTCGCCAACTTGTCGCCATAACTTGCCAGAAGTAACCTACAACAAAGGGTATCTCGATCGATTTTCACGAAATTTTCAAAGTTGAAAGATCCATTCTAGGCTTTCAAGTAATTTATCATGAATGAATCTATAAGAGAATTATCTATCAATAAAAGCAAACATTTGCCACTTTTCAGTACAATACCTGTTCGTAACCCCCGAGAGAAGTCACTGCCTTCCATAACCTGAACATATCACGCAAAGAATGTAAGTCATTCAAAACAGGTTGCTAAAGGCTTATCACATTGTGAGATTGACTGGAACCTTAAAGCTACCCATACGAGAAAGACACAACAAAATCTGAGCTGACTGAGAAACCAAACGAGATAAATAAAATACTAGAAATGACAATCAAGGCAGAAGCAGAGCGTGAAATGGAATTCAGGTCAAGGAAGGAAACAGGATAGAAACCGATGTTACATAATGTCAGTAAGGTAGACGAGGACATTCTTACACGCGAATTTGGAATACTACAAACTTCACCGATCAACTAACGACACTACAAACTTCCAGGGTGTCCCTAAAGACCATCAGATAATGACTGACAGTACAAACTTGTAGGCTGAAGAGGAGCCGAAATAATTATCTTAGATCTCAAATGCCGTTGGTATATTACAAAACTGGACGAAGCACCTCAATTGGAAGGGGCAGAGTAAATTAGGAAAGATGTGACACAAAGCACACTCAAAAACGCAGTCCTAGTGTCAAGAAACCGGAGAAGACGCGAAAGCAGGGCGGATGTTACAGGTGATTAGAGGAACTTTCGAACACAACGACTACTACCAGATAAAGGACAACGCCTCCAGCCCTGCACTATATCCTTCGGAAACAGAAAAATTAAAACAGAAGTATATCTCTTTGTTGACAAAAAAAAACTATAGTGCAGTCTGTGTGCCCTCTACGAAGTCAGGAGTGCAAGATAATCGATATTCCCTGCTCAAACTCCATTCCAAATAGAATTCATGTCTACCACAGTTCTGTGTCAATTCCAAAAACAGCTAGAACTTCCAAAGAGACAAGAGCAAATCACGTGTGAGGATAATGGTAAATTCGGCTTACTTCAGAACATTCAGTTCTTCTCCGTAAAACTTCGGAGCTTTATACTCCAAGTTCCTATCCCTAAAGAAGTTTTCGAGGACCCTCGTGAAAGCGATCTGCTCCTCAATGCTGCCGTCCTTGTCATCAACCTCATCCTCTTCCACCTCTTCCTCCTCCACCTCTTCCTCTTCTACCTCCTCCTCCTCCTCCTCTTCCTCCTCTTCTTCTTCTTCCTCTTCCTCTTCTTCCTCCATCTTTTCATCCTTTGATGAAACCATTCTCGCTTGTAATGGTTCTTCTTCCTCCTCCTCTTCTTCCTCTTCTTCTTCTTCCTCCTCCTCTTCTTCTTCCTCTAATTCTTCCTCGTGTTTGTCTTCTTCTTTCAAGACTCTTTCTTTCTTGGCTCCGTCTTTTCTTTCTCCCACCTTCGCTTGGACCTCCTTCTCCTCCACATCCTTCTCGTCTATTTTCATCTCTGCCACCTTCTTGTCGTCTTCTTTGTTGACGACTTCCTCGCTTTCAGCTTTCTTGGCGAAGAGTCCCTCGGTGCTCACATTCGGTGCTTGCTTCACGTCCCGAGGCCGTAAACTCTCCGTATGCTCGCCACTCGAAGTTTTCACCACCTCAGCTTCAACAGGCTCCTGCGGTGCATCGGTCACTGTAGGCTGGCTATCTATGGTGGCCGACGCTCCATTCCCAATTTCAGTTTCAGGTTCTGTCATGACAGCCACCCTCTTTCCACTATGGCAATATGTGTGCAAAAATCCTGGCTGGGAAATCTGATTTCGGAATGGAGGCAAACGGACTAGCTTTCAAGAATGAAAAACTGGAGAAGGGCGAAAATGCAGAACAGCCTGGTGAATAGAGAGGGTGACCTAGCAATAAACCAGACCACGAGAGCAAACAAACGACAGACACGTAACTACAGCTGACGAGAAAGCTTGATACAATGATGTGATAAAAGTTGTGTCGAACTTGCGAATCAGGAAACACAGTTCCAACAGCAATCTCTAGCAGTTGTGACCTCACACGTACGACCGTTGTGCAGAGTGTAAAACCACACCGAGAGGTACAAAACACGTACCCTAACCAGCGAATCGAAAAAACCCAAACCCCCGATGTCAATCGACTCCACACCCACTCCTTCTTTGGATTGATCACAATGCGCTACTGGTGACCAGCTGACCTAATGGTTCGAGGTTCGTCCCTCACAGCCCTCCCGACCTCCCACAAATTTTCTTGAAGCGATCTTTTACGACCCACAGCGAAATTATCAGCCCTCCTTCCGACGAAATGCACACGACATGATTTCTACCGAGGCCCCGCCATGCTTCCTCTGCTGTAGCCCGAGACAACCACCTCCTCCTCCAGAACTCTCCTCCACCCTACGCAACCCTTTCCCTACACACCAACAAGATGTCGCAATCCCAATCTCTCTGCCCTAGATAGAAATAATATTCCGAACTCACATTGTTCCTGCTGCTCTCAATGGTCGTCTGTCTACCTCGCGGGCCACTGCCGCCTGAACCTCTCTCTCGTTCATGTCCTTCCCTACTCGTCTTCAGAGCATTCCCTCCCCTTTGTTAGAGCGGAAAGTCCGACATTTCCACGCGACTCGGCCTTAGAAGAGAGGACCTTAACCAAGAGACGATGTGAGCCTCCTGTCCGGTTCTGATTTGCTGAGCCCACTGACATATGCCACTCATGTTGGAGCGAACAAATGAGCCGTTTTACATCACGAGGACAACTTTATTTACGAGTTTTAACTCCTCGCGGACGTATTCATTTTAAACTGGTCTCTTAGCAACTTCCCCGCACGCCACTTCCCCTCGATTTCCCCATCCAAAATCACACGTCTCTCATATGATATGGACCTTCACGGCCTCGCTAATCCTCGCCAATGTTCAATCAAAATCTCTTAGTTCCAACTCATGCCATGGGTCTCTATCGCACATTAACATATGTTCCACACAGTTCCGCTGCAAAGTGTGATGCTTTCGTTTTAGAATTCCTTGGGCTTCTCGGTCAACATCGACTTCTATCCTTGGTACTTCTTTCAATTTTTCTATTGACGTTGATAGCTTATAAATATGAGACCCACCGTACGAGTTTTTTTTCCCTGTGGCTTTACACATTCCGTTCTATCCCGTACGTCTCCCTCTAGTGTTGCAATTATCAGCTCGCTGATGATTGCACTACTAGAGCCAATTGAAGCATCCAGATATTTTGTATAACCTGGTAAGTCATTGTTAGCAAACGCAGTCGATTTCAGCGTACTGGACTATGAGAGAAAAGTTACATTCAACAAGTTCCCATCGGATTTTCTACCTATAGGAACTTATACCCGGGCTCACTATACTAATCGAAGCATTCCATATATAATTGAAATACAAAATTCCATTCAGATATTCCATACTCCATTATCAAATACTCGGTCAATATGTCATGTATAACGAGATAACTTGTGATATTGGAAACTATTATTAACAGTCATGATGGTACCTGAATGAATGCATGAAACTGTCTACAAATGCAGATCATATCAAACTTTACCACCATACGCATCGGGGATTATTGAATGAATGAAATATAATTTCGAGAACACTTCTTTATTGCATTCACGATGCAGTTAAAACCCAATGCATAAGGATTACTGACCTTGATGCACAACGAGGATATATCATTGACTGCATTACAAATGCAGTAGATTGTCTAAAGCATAAGGTCAGATTTCACCAGACGTTCATTTAATTATTTTGACATTTTACAGATTCTTCAGAGATGAACATTCGAGGTAGAAGGTTCTCTGTACGAAAAAAAAGGGAGTCAGTAGATAGCAAGTGAAGATCCGCTGAAGTGATACATAGAAGAAACCAAGTTGCTAGTATTGGGGCTATACCCAATATCATGACTGAGGGAAAATTAATCACCTTTCCTAATATATCTAAGCAATGTAGATCAAACCGTCTCTGTTCAAGAGTGTAAATGTTTAGTTGAGGTTTTCATATACCGTGATGCAGTGATGCATTTGGTAGACGCGTGTGCCAACACTTGTGGATGGCATGAGTGTCAATTTTTCGAGGTGAGCATTTGTTGTGATCATGTTTGCTACATGTAAGATGGATTGATTGTAGTAGTTAAGTGTTTGTATCTATAGACTTGGATATATGCTTTTATCTATTCTAGATGTATATAAATGACGTAATACTAGTCATATTTCCAACTAAAAGGTATAGTATTCATGTTTATGATCTCGGTAACACTGCTAGTGTTTGTAACGTCTAATTGATTGCCGAGTGGTATATCCATGAGGATCTATGCGCGTATGAGTTGTCAATTGAATTTGTATGAAAATAGGACAAAGAAAGGAATTTTTCCTTCAGAAGTAAGTCGTAAGTTTATCATTTTGAAAGTTATTCAAACCTTCTTTTTTTATGTGTAGATTAAAGACGTAGGCTATCAATGTATAATGTTAATGGTGATATATATGATTTGAATTTATAAGCTCATTATTTAGAAGTTGTAAAACGATGAATTCCATGTGATATGAACATCTTATTTTTCAAAATTTTGTTTGGTAGTTTCTCACATAAATCTACGTGTGTGATAGACAAATGTTAACTAACTATGATTGAAATAATAACTCATTTTTTTGTTTAAATGTGACTGTGCAATCATCACAAAATGGTTTATCACGTCGTTCTATTTGCATATGTCGTAAATATCATTTTTTATTAAATATTTCTCAAAGAATACGATTTGTGTTTTTTTTTGGCATTGAAGGTGTGATAAAAGTGTCATGATAAATGTATGTAAATAAACTATTGAAAAAATATATGAACATCAAGTATAATGAAGTATTTGTATAGAATGAATGATGATACTCATGCATAATTTAATATCACAAACATTATACTTTTGAATTTTGAATGCAAAATTTAGTTACATACAATTATTGACATTTACTCAAATTAAAAAAACAATTTTCCACATAAATTACTTTTTAATATTATATTCATATAATTTATACAAAATTTGGATTATATTTTCATTTTTGCAGGTTAAAAATTGAAATTTTATGTTTATTGATATTTTTAAACTCTAGTTATATTAAATTTGACAAAGATATGACTTTTTAATACTTTGAGAGTGTGAGAACTCGCAAAAATTAAGAGTGTTGTATCAAGAGTATGTATATGTTGAAATATTTTAGTTTAATGTTTTCAATTTTCAGTCTTAAATGCTACTGTAATGTGTAGACCCTACTAAGCTCTAAATCATAACTCAAAGTCTCATTCAATTAATATGTTACATTACAGAACACTACATAATTATAATTATATCAATGTTCTTTTTTAATACTTTAATATTTTATATCCTAGTTGATTTTAAAATATAAATATTGTTTTTTCATGTATGTAGTGAGTTCAATATCAATAATCGATTATATATTAGTTGATATACGATGTCATATCTGTGAAGATGAAAAAAGTAAAATATAAACAAGTGCAAAATCACATCTTTGTTATAAATTCACAACATTTTATCATATGATGAAACATTTGTACATAATGTTATACTCAATGTTATATTGATTACTATAGTAATGTAATATTCGATGATACAGAAATTTAGTAGTTTCATATAATGACATGAAACATCATGTACATCGAAATTGGAGTTTCATTTAAATAATGGAACTCAACTTGTACAAATAATTTTATAACTTGATAAAATGACCTTATTTGATAGATTTTATTTAGTAATCAATTTACAAAAAAGTGATCTAATGTATAATATCCATACAATCGAAAACCAAAAGCACAGTTGGCCCTTTATACTAAGGAGGCTGTATATGGCTTATTTATGTGCAAGAAGACTGTAAATAGTATAGGCATAAGATAATTATAATCAACCTAATTAAATTTTTACATATAAAAATAGATAAGATGATTTGTATTATTTAAGAGATACAAATTAACTGAATATGAACATATTATAACATCTTACTTATTAAATAATATAAGTGTTTACAAAAATAACAGAATATTTGATACAAATCATGTGAATAATATTAACTACCTTACTAGATAATTATGTTTGGAATATTTAAACTAACATTTGTTGATCATCCACAATTTTGTTAATTTTAAGCTGAAATTATGAATCATGAAACACTTTCAACACACAAACACAAAACCCATGATAATGAGAGTGTCTATTTCATGAGATCAAACATTAAATCTATCATTTTATCCAAAGTTAAGATTTTAAAAAAGCAAGAACATAAATTTTGTGAATATCCCAAAAAAATTTATTGAACACAGATATAGTATTAGTAAAATATGGGATATTCTTATGTAAAATCAATGTATGTGGAAGCACAATCCAACATTCTAACAAAATATTCTATATATTTTAAATTTTCTTACATATATGTATTGCTTCTAATGTACGTGCAATTGCAATTCAATTATTTCAAAATCTGATAGTACATATCCATGTTCATATAATCTAACACATAAGATGGATTTAAGAACAGTCAATGAGTTAACAATAAAAAACATATCAAATTCATTCAATCTCTAAAATAATGTTTTGTAAGATAATTGTAATATAATACATTGATATTTTCAATCAATTTATCATTAATCGAAATTAAGACTTTACGCAAAGTAAAATATATTGAGGAAAAATGTACATTTTTTGAAATCACTTGATTTTGCCGTTTGATTTCCAAGAATATAAATAACATATTATGAAACTTAAAAAAAAATTTAAAATTTTTGTCTACTATATACGTATTGAACATTCATAGATATTAATTTTTGTATGGTATTTTTCCATACAAAAATTATGTACATAATTTGATCATAATCAAATCATCATCATCCTGGAATAATTTAATACATATAAAATTGAGAAAACATATGAATATCACATACTTGATCAAAAAATGTTTGGATTGATATAAATGAACGATAATTTTAATAGACTAAGATATAATATATTTGAATAATCTTTTCTAAATATGGAATACAATATTGAAAGTAGGTTCATGATATATGTTTAATTAATATTTTAATTTCATAAATCAATCAATCACAATGCACAATTGATTTTAATGATTTCATGAAAATTTTGAAAACTATTTCCGAGCAATGATAATTTTTGCAAATAATATCTTAAACATTTCTGAAAATCATATTTTATTAAATGATAATTGTAGTATCAAGTTTTTTCATATGTTCTGATTTTGAATGATCAATAGATTTGAAAAATATGTCAAATTTTTATTTCTTCATATATGTTCAATTAAAAAAATGGAATTTCAATTTTATTTTTGATTCTTTTAACTTACATTTGTGGTTGTCTAGATTCATATATATTTACATTGAATGATACAAATTTCGAAATTAAATTCAAATGCAATCTAGATATTACACTTATAGCTAGAATTAAGTTGAAATTAAAATCAAGTAATATAAAACTTGAAAGTTTATAAATTTCTAAATTTTGTATTATGTTGATCAAGAATCATTATAAATTTTAACAACACCGCTATGTAATAATTCTGAATAATATTCATAAGTGCCCCAAACACAAGATTGAAATGAAATTCAAATTCAACATATATTATCCGATGGAATAATATCTAAGAATTTTCAAGATTTAATACAGTATTTGAAGAGACATACTGAATGTAATTACAAGAGTCCTCACATTATTAATACAAATTTGGACATATGTTTATTTATTTTAATTACTCTTTCAGTTTGCTACTAAGTCTATTCGAATGAAAGAAATGATGGGTTAAAAAAACCAAATTGTAATCGACGAAACACTATGCAATTTGTAGAATAATATTTATAGATTGTATTTGAAAGCGGAAAAATCGTATGAGAAAATGTTGTCACATATATATATATATATATATATTCAAACATGTCATTATTGAGAAACAAATTTTGATATAAAAAGTGATTAGAATGATACATTATTTTCTTATGTAGAATAATATAATAAACAAATGTCCTAGCTTGTTCTTGATTTATTATGTTCAAATACATATAATCTTTTATTACATGAAATAACATTCCAAATTTTGTTTAATAAATTATTTGACTATAAAATATGCAAAGATTGTTTTTCAATATATCAAAAGTATACTTTTATTAAAAAACACCAATTAATCATCTTCACTGAAAGTATTTAAAAGTATATCCAGTTTTAATTATGATTTTTACAATATTTTCATATTACGTAAAATAATGAAATAAATTTTAAGCACATCATAATCAAAAGTAGAGTTAATTTAAATTTCAGCTACAAATATTAAGAATCTTATTTGCTCCTTCTTGTACATTTTGAAATATGAAAAAAAATAGTGATCAAATCAAATTGTAAAAGCTGTTTTAATTTCAAATTGTAGAAATTGATAGCTTAAAATATACTGAATGTATCATATTATCAAATATTGTCATTAAATAAGATATTTAATTTATTCGAATTTTCAAAAAATGTTCATAATCTATATGGTTCACCTATTTATCACAAAATATGTAAGTGAAAGCAGTGAAGAACAGTTTAATCATTTTCATCAAACATGTTATTTTGTTAATATCAAAAAATTCAAAACATGTTAATGTGCAAATTTATGATATAATGCATATAACTATGACATACATATTGTTTGTACATTTATTGCACAAGCTTAGCAAATTTGTCATATTTATCACATCAGGTTATAAATTTGAATAAGTATATAAATATATTTCATTTTAAAAAATAAAAATGCGAATTTTGGTTTTTAGAAATCATCTGATGCAAAATTTCAATTTTTTTCACAATTGTTGTATTTTAGTTACTAATATTTTGAATAAACATTCTTATTGTTTCAAATTTTGATCAACTAAGATTGTGTATTAATCCGCGCAAGTTAATTAAACAAACCAAGGTACTTGTCTAATTATTTTATTATTCAAATGATATGTAAATTTTATTTTTGCAAAAGTTGTTATTTTGAAACACAAATTTGTGCTCTTTTGTCATTATGAAGTGAATACATATATTTGATGAAGTTGCAAGTAGTTAGTTAACACATTGTTTTAAAGAAACAACTTATGCATCATAATTTTTTTTAAGTAATCATAAGTGAATTGAAAATATATAGAATTGTTGTTTTTTGGATGAAGGTAAATCTTTTAACTCTACGTAGTTAACTTATCACAATGAATGTAAGTTGAAAATACATACAATCTCATGTAGCTTGCCAAAACAAAACGTGAACATTAAATTTTCATATTTTTTTTGGCATTAAGTTATGTACTACTAATGAAATATATTTCTATTTTAAAATATACATTGTATAATTTTTATTTTCTATCAAAAAATTATACTTGAACAAACAAATTTATCACTCTTTGATTTGCTTGAATGATATTTTCATTGTACACGCAAACATTCAAAGAAAAGAGTAAATATGTAGATTATTTCAAATGTTTGTGTACTTTGTTTTGCTTTTGCACATGCTCATTGACAATCATGATAATTCTGTCTTAGATTAATGTCAAACATTTTTTATACGTCATAATAACTTTATTAAAAATTAAGCTATGATTAAAGTTATATAATAGTCAATTTTTTGGTGAAGTTTCACGTGAAGTGAAGAATGATTGCAAAATTATAAGAATGCACAAAGAACAAAATCTGCATATGCATTTTGTTAAACTTGACGATTTAAAATTCATTGTGCAAGTTCTAATAGATTAGTTTTAGAAAATTTTGTTGGAACAACTAAAAATAATAATATCAAATTTGTTGTCATATTTAGCATAGAGATATGATTACAATAGAACCACTTGTATTATCCATATTGGCTTTATACAAAACACATAATAAGAGTTTACAGGCTATCATGTACTCTATATATGATTTCACTCGATTGAGTTTTGGCTATAACTTTCTATAAGTTACTTCTACTTTGCAAAATGCTTTATGCAAATTTTCAATCTAGAATATTTTGCAAAGTGATTATAGTGATAATAGAGTTCAAGAATTTTCAAGCATGAATATAGGAAAAGATCTGTTTAAGTTATTAAAGCTTTGTTAATTTGAATATAAATATTTGGCATGGTACTATGTAAAAGATATTATTTATTATAATCTACACAAACTTCAGGATTTTGAAAAATATATATTTTGATACTGCGAAAGATGAATCTTGTATTATAAATGTCAACTTTAAAGAGAGCGTATAATTGTGAGAGCTAAGTGTTTTTTTCAAACAAATTTGGTACTTCATCATCATTGCTATAATTAATACTCTTGATTTCAGCATGTACTGATTTCTTAATGTTTAAAATCGAGATTATTACATTATGTTGACGTACAACAAATAATTTGAAGCTACATTGAATAAATACATATACATGTAATTTTATTGTATATGTTCATACAAAATATTAATGTGGAAAATATATATAATCAGGAAAGAAGAAAAATTTGGGTTAGAGTGAAGAATTGCATGGTAAAATTGAGCAAGTTGAATGATTGTTAATTTAGTATGAATCTTTTAATAGATCCAACTTATTTTTAATTACATGGCTACATAGTCAAAGAATTTGACTATGTAGCCATCTTGATGAACAACTTTTGAATCTCTTTAGTGAACTGGACAACACATATGAAGACTGAAATGATTTCACACTCTCAAAATAAAAGAGCATCATTAAACATGTTTGCAAGCGACCAACTATTAACCAAGGAAGTTTTACAATAATGTTAAGTGAAATGATGATATCCTATAGTGTAGAATATTTGTAGGCTTAACATTATAAGCAAAGTTTTGATAGCATATATAGCAGCAGTTTTACATGTATCTTTGTACGATTAGCAACATAGTCAGGGAATTTATATCTTAGTTATGAATTCAGAAGTCCTATATGTGATGTGGTAAGCATATATTAGCTGTAGATTTCACCAAGAGTTCAGCAAGTGCAGAACTTAAATACTATGACTGCAAATGATAACGTGTTGTGACTAAATTGCAGTCACAAGAACGTCGACTTTGTAAAGGACAAACTGAAAACGATCTCAACCGCTGTATGATGTGGTTGTATTGTTACAGGTGTTGTCAAGTGTAACCCCCTCTAGTCCTTGACGTAGAAGAATTTTCTCTGAAGAATCGCCAACTCGGATGAAGTCATGGAAACAATTCAGGTTGAGCTGGAAAGTGACGTCACACAAGACACGTGTCGTACGGAGTGAAGACGACTACGGGAGGAAGGTTACAAAGTGCACAAGGACGAAGAGAAATTCAACAACAATGGACGCGCGTTGACTCCCGTTCTTGTCGAGGAATTTGAAGTAAGTCGCAGTAGCTCTTCTACTCGAAGCCCTAAATCTCAGGAGAGGGACGGACACCCAGACAGGAATACGGTGACGATATTCGTGGAGTGGGACAAGTGGATCCCGGCACGTACATTATACTTCTGTCACGAGGCTTGTAGAAAGCCAGCTAGAGAGAGACTGAAAAGGGAAAGTGAGCTGAGCTACTTTTGAATGACGAGCAGCAGTGTCGCCGCCGTTCAGGCGACGAATGATGATGCATCCGCTTCGAAATTGTGAGTTTACACTTAACTCAGTTTATCTGTTTTTTTGGCGGCTTTTTTTGTTGTCCAGTAGAGGCGTAGATCGATAGCAGAGGGATGGACTTGAATGCAATTTGACATTGATTTGTTCATGCAGATCTTGTGTGAATAAAGGGTACTTTGAAGACAAATTCGTTAAATATTTCGTGAGAAGACCTGTGAGGAGATCTCCGATAATCAATCGCGGTAATTACAAATGTCATGCTTTTGAACCTCTTGGCTGAAGGCCTTCACTTTTTCTTCAAATTTTGTGTTGACAAAGATTTTAGAATTGCTGAGTTTTAGAAAATGCTTCAATAGCTCTTTTGGCAAGTGTAATAGCCTGTCTCATGCAGGCGAGAAGTCATCAAATTGAGCCAAATTCAGCATTTAGTCACGGAACATTGCCGATTTGAGCTTTTGAATTGTGTTTTGCCACTATTTCAGATGTGGGCACAAGCCCTACCCTTACATTCTAGAAATTCAGCAGCTCAAAATTCATCAAAATGAACAGCAATGTAACTTTTCTCCTTCTAGCTTATTATGCTCTGCCTTCGTCGAACTTGCACCCTCTGGGTGTGTAGCTACAGGTAGAAATAAGTACATATGACATTACGAAATAAGTCTGAAAGTCTTATAACTCATACAATTACAGTCCATACAATTCAAGCAAATGCTCTTTGGACTAGGGTACAGTAACTTTGAAATCCTGGGTACTACGAGTTCTCATGGTACATTGCATCTCAATTGCAAAGGATGGCAGAGTTTTAATTAGCATCAAAGTTCCTCCAGAAATGAGGAAAATCTAAGTAGCTTTGATTGCTCTTAGTGTTTTCTGCTTTGGATGTTTTATCCCTACAAGCACTTTAAACCGCTCAATTTGCAGTGTCACCTTTCGACCTTACTAAGTCAGCTAATCATCCAAAATATATACACAACATTAGATCTCTTCCTTTCACACAATTCCGGGTACTCTCAGATTGTGAATATGTATATTGTATCTGGGTTATGGTCTAAATTGAGGCCTAGTTAAACATTAGAGATGCAACGGACTCCAAGTGAATTCCCTTCCGCTGTTCGTCGAATGTGGAAGTATTCTATCTACAAACCAGTCTCATACATTCATTTCATATGATGTTTCAAGCCATGCCATACTTACTTCAGTTGGCACTCTCCTGATGCTTGACCAGGATATTATGCACGATGGGCAGCCATGCGGACCCTCTTGATGCAGTTTCTTGATCTATCGACGAGATCCGATGGAACTCGACGGAAGCAAATTTTATCCATCGGGGCCGGCTTTGACACTTTGTTCTTCAATCTTCATGTGAGTCTCTCTTCTGCATTTACAATGACATCTCATTACGTGAAAAATACTGGATACTACCATGATCGTAACACGACGAGCTATAGGAAAACCATTTCACGTTTGACCTCCACATTTTTCAAGGTAGAAAGTGGAGATTTCTGACTCCTTGTTATCCCTGAATCTTCACGTTTCTGGCCACTTCACAGGTTTTACCTGTTTCCAATTGTTTACATTTCTGTTGCATGAAGGAATGTACCTGGTGGACGTAATGCAGGAAAGTCATTAACCAGTCCACTCCAAATTCGACTCTATGAGGAAGCGACACCTGTTGTTCAGAACAAGCCTTTTTTAGATGAAGAGCTAGACTATCAGTGAATTACTTCCTAATACTCCCTATAGATATCGGAGGTCCTCTTTTCTGCCATGTACGTGTGCAACTCTTGTACAGATAAGTACTTTCTGTGATTGACTTCACGAGAGTCTAGTCCTGCATCATACAAACAAAAGTTGTGATGAAGGATGTGCAAGTACTATGGTCCGTAAGCCGCAATATGATTTTCTATCACTGTCACACTAAATGATCCAGCATCAGCCAATATAAGTTGATGAGGATTGTTCAACTACATGTATTGATAGGTTGACATGTACATGATATTCATATCACTTGTGAAATAGCTGATGTGACTATGATGTTTTTTGTGCAGGAGGAAGGAATGAAGCCCGATCTCTTTGTTGAGATAGACTTTCAAGAGGTAAGCTCGAGCTTGGAGATGCCGAAATGTTGTTAAGGAGAACCTGCTTTGCACAGCTGAACTTAAAATCGTCTTTCATGCTATTTGCATTCAGAAAGAAATGGTTCTTAGTTACGTATTTTCGGTAAACATTTCCAGAAGTCACTCAACTGGGTGTACTAATGTTGGATCGATACTAACATATTGGACAGGTAACAAGTAAGAAAGTCGCTATTATTTCGTCTCATGAGCAACTCATGAGTACGCTTGGTCCTCATCCCATCATTTCTAAGGGTACAACAGCTGTCTTTCTCCCAAGTACTGCTGTGGTATGTCAAGCTTGGTTTAAATCTGCTGCATGCTCTAGATTCTCTGGTTACTGTGTTGTATTTGCAGAAGTAAAAGCTTTTGATAGATAGCTTGCAGGTAAAGCATGTATGATGTGTGGTGACCCCATATCTTGTTTTGCAGGAGCTTAGTCTCTGTATGATGATTGCAACACAAAGTTTGACACATGATTATCACTAGGGTGGACTTAAATGTTGCAGACAAGGGAGAGATTATGAGTGAGCATTACAAACTTTTACCCGGGGATTTAAGAAATCTCAGTGGGTTGGATGACGTTTTTAAGCAGGCTCAGCTCGATCCTAGGTACGTAGTGTGACGATGAACAAATCACTAATTTCAGGATAATAAAATAGTCAAAGTTACCTGACAATTGATATCAAGACGGTATAATATATCTAATGCTTGTGTTATAACAGGAACATATCATTAAGATGCTAATATCAGTTCTGAAGTATTCTGACGGCTATGGAAATCGGACCCTTCGCTAAGACATCTTCTCCATCTGAAGTTTTTATCTTCTTAGAGACATCCAGATGTATAGTTCAGTTGGGAAACTTAAGTGCGTGCATCTTGATTAAACTGCAGGTTACTTAGTTTGTCAGAATTGCAACCTGATGTAACTCGATAAGAAAAATCTTGAATTTTTATTTTTCTTCCATTGGATTGTGCCAGTTTGCCAACTTTGATTCTTGCGGAGTGTGTCCTCATATATATGGAACCTGAGGCCAGCCGTGATGTCATAAAATGGGCTGCAGAAAAGATATCGACAGGAATTTTTGTACTCTACGAGCAGGTTGCCTTCCTTTACTTTTTATGACCGTTCTTTCATATTTATTTTTTCCTCAGAAAGGTTTAGATTGTGAAGTTTTAGTAATTAAAACACAACTATAAATGAGCATTGATGGTTTCTATCAGATATAATAACCACCTAGGAGACCAAGAAATCATCCTCTTTGTGGACAAATGGAATGACCCCCTTGGCAAGAATTCTTTTCATTTCCTTATACAGTAATCTTGTATTTGATAGAAATTCCTCAACAAGGTCGTTTCTTTAAGGGATGAACTTTTTATCTTTTGATATAATGGCTGAAACCTTATCTACTTTGCAATCATAGTAAACAACGAAGTTGAGACTAAAATGATCTTGGACTGATAAAAATGTTGGTGTCCTTGTTTATTTGTCGTCGCCAGATTCATCCGGACGATGCGTTTGGACTTCAAATGATGAGAAACTTGAAGGTAGTTTGAATTGCTGCCTTGCAATCCTGAACCGAATTGGAGTAGTTATGCTTTTGACGAAAGATATTATCTAACTTTTTTCGTTTCATTCCCGACTTTTCTTTTTGGCTTAAGATGTTGCCATCTTTGTTTTGTGCGCTTTGTAGAGCCGGGGCTGTCCCCTCCTGGGTCTCGATGACACCCCAACTTTGGAATCTAAAAAGAAGCGCTTCACTGACCTAGGCTGGCAGGTATGTTCATGACCTGTCACAATGTCTATCTTCGGCTGTGTAATGTTCAGTCTATGTAGCAACTCTATTGTAGAGGCCGTCTTCCCTCTCTAGTATTCCTCTCTTTTTGCTCCTCGGCGCCTCTTCTCAACAGAGATGTGTATGTCTTCAGATCGCTAGAAGCAAATACGTTCTGCATTCAAACTATAAAGCAGGTCAAAACTTAGAGCTTTCAATGCATCGCTTATGTTTGCGTTCTAACTTCATAGACACTGTGATCAGCACAAACATAATGGGGAACTTGTACCAAACAAAGCGAACGGACATAAAGAATGAACACATTCTGTTAATATCTTGCTTCAACTACTGCTTCCATCTCCATTGTAATTTATTCGATGATATCATATTACTGCGAGATAACGCCACAGATTGTACTTGTAAGCATGCTTTCTCATTTTTAGTTTATGTGATGATTGGATCCAGAGAGCAGATGCTAAGGATATGGATGCTATATATAATCAATGCCTGGAGGCGAGTGACCGACGAAGGCAAGAAAAAACAACCCAATTTTCATTTTGACTATTATGTATAGTACTAATTTAAATGTATGTAGTTTTAGAAATCGAGGTTTCTGGAGCGTTGAGATAAATTATCTTATCGTGTTTGGAAGAAACTGTAATTTCCAAACAACGTATGCAATGTGGACCGGCCTTTTTAACGCTCACGTTTGGTTGATCGATCTTGCAGGACTGAAAGACTGGAAATTTTTGATGAGTTTGAGGAGTGGCATATTATGCAGGTAGAATCCTCGTTACAAGTTTATATTAGTTTCCAACAATGTGGTTTCGTTCCGAAGAGATCATTTTTCTGTTAACTTGCGGGTTGAATGACTTGACTTGGTTGGTTGGATGGTTTGCAGGAACACTATTGCGTTGCTTACGGTATCAATGATCCAACTGTAAGTTCCCCGGCGGCATTTTTTACTGGTCATTTTTTTCATATTCTTTTTCAACATTCTGCATGTGAACAGGATCATGCCTGTAGATGATGGATGGATATTTACGATATGCGGACATGACTTCTTATCCAATCAAGCTGAAAAGGCGTGATTATGTTATTGCAGGGCATGTACGAGGCATTTGGATTTGTGGCGAAATGAGCTTGTTTCACGGGTTGAAGTCATGGGCATTCGGAAATAGGACATCCACTTGAGTTTTTCAGTCGAAGCTCAGTTCTATTTATGAGAAGACAGTGAGGAGTTTAGCTATGAAGGAGATATCTTGGAGGTTGGAATTTCACGTTTCCTACAAATAAGGCTTTGCAAGAGGTAGTAATCAATGTTATTGAAGTAATTTGGGCCAAACCCTTGCACTGTACAGATGGTAAACCTAGAAGATGAGCAAGTTGCCTGATGGGGTCTTCCCACACTATTTTGTTATTCACTTGGCCCCCGACCGTTTGAATGTGAAGAAGTCGCGGTACTCGTAATTTTTTACGCTACACAGTGATGAATCTACAGGCTCAATTGAGGTGAATGTGATTTCGTTTGTATCTTATTTATTGTGCTCTGAGATTCCACAATGTTGAATTGCAGTCAGGTTTGCTCGGCAGATCTCATGTTCATCATTCACGGTTTTCTAACACTTCGTCGCATACTCTTTTGGTAGTGATCACTTGGCCATATACATTCACATAGAAATCTCTATGCTATTGGCAGTCGAATGCCATGAGATATAGTTGTCTCCTCAAGTAGTTGGAAGTGGTGATGTGCAAAACTGTGGTAACACAAAGTTGGACTCATTTACAGCGAACAGAGGGACGAAGTGAACATTGGAAGTAGAATCTGTTGAGAAAATTAAAATGACTCAGCATTTTCACCTCAACAGCTTGGATTGTTCAATGTTCGATGGCCTGACGGCTGATCAACTGCAACGTCACATTGACTTTGGGCAGATTACAACAGATGTTCGATTCCAGACCGCATGCAGAAAACTGGCAGAACTTTCCCAGCCATGCATGACCAAAAAATTCTTGGATTACTAACTACAGTAGGGTATCTATCTAAATGTGGCAGGAAGAAAGGGCCTCGTCATCTTGCTCCGTTGGTCAATACTTATTCTCTAGAGATCATGAAGTTGGTCAGCTTGCACAATTGTGCACTACTTTCTATGGGGTTCAGTCATTTAAGAACGACGCACACCAAATTCACTTCTATAGAGTCAGTAAACTTTTCAAAATGACGTACATTGGACGTCTTTGTGGCTGGAGTATATATTGCTACACGGGATCATCAAGGGAGGGCTTGGTTGATGCAGGCTACTAAAATCTCCACCGCCTTTTCCAGTTCTTTGTCGCTGATGATGAGTGGCGGTGCCAATCGGATCACATCCCCTTTTCCTGCGGTGATGAGAATCATGCCTGCCTCCCTCGCTGCTTCCACTACCGGGTTTGCAGAGCAGTCGAGTTGAATTCCCACGAGAAGACCAACACCACGAACTTCTTTCACATGCTTGTTCTTGCCCACAAGCTTCTCAGCCAGTGATGTCCGCAGTTGGCACCCTTTCGATGTGACACTCTCCATGAAGCCGGGCTTTTGAATGCGGTCCAGTACAGCCAGAGCAGCGGCACATACCAGAGGGCCGCCAGCAAATGTACTTCCGTGATCCCCGTAGGAGATGGCGGAGGCCACAGCCTCTGTAACCAGCACTGCACCGATCGGCAATCCCCCTGCCAGAGGTTTGGCCAAAGTCATGATGTCTGGGTTCACTCCATAGGGCTCATGAGCCCACAGCTTCCCAGTTCTTCCCAATCCGCACTGCACCTGAGCCACAACGAAATCCAAGCACGATTCAGTCCAGTTTCAAAATGAAACGTACATCTATCAAGTGCATCAGGTACAAAAGTGTTCAAAAGCAAATATCCATTTTTTTCTTGAAGTCTCTTCGTGATCAAAAGTTCTTGGAAGATAATTCCCTCTCAGGGGAAGAAATGCAGGCAAGGAAGTGGGACTCCATGCTGAAAGGGATGTGAAGTTCTAGCTTGACCTTCAAGTTGGAGGGGAAGAGATCACAGGCCTTGAATCAATGCATTATGTGACGATGCATTAGTACATAGTCCGACTGATTGAAAACCAAGTGAATGCAGCTAGGATAGGTAAACCCAGTTGTTCCGTGGAGAAAATGTTATTTGCTTCTAGGAGCTCATGAAGAAGCAGCATACCTCGTCGAAGACAAGAATTGTTCCAGTCTCATCACAGAGCTCGCGAAGACCACGAAGGAACGAGGCCACTGCAGGGTATACACCACCCTCGCCTTGCACTGGCTCCACAAAGATTGCTGCCACTTTGCCACCTTTGACCAGCTTCTTCACGCCTTCAAGGTCTCCAAAGTCATAGAAGTGTACTCCTGGGATCAGGGGCTCGAAAGGCGCCCGATATTGGACTTTGCTCGTCAGAGATAGAGCACCCAGAGTTCTGCCATGGAACCCGTTGTTAAATGCCACCATCTCCGTCGCTACTTCTCGCTTTCCGAATTTCAGCCATCGCTTGTCCTCTTTCTTCTCTGCATTGTAACGCTGAAATTTTCGAGCAAATTTAATTGCGGCCTCGTTCGCTTCCGTTCCAGAATTGGCCAGAAACACTCGATCAGCAAACGAAGACTGTACGAGGCGTTCAGCGAGCTTCACCTGCGCAAGGGGTCACGAATAAAATGCGCATGTACGTCAGATTCATCACCGACAAGACAACTGATCGGCGATGCTTCGTAACCCCTACAGGCATATTCGATCTTAAATCCCAGGATCACACGAATGCTCACATATTGACACAAGTAGAAAACATCAACACCAAACTCGCACTCTCAGTTCAGACACTGGGCAGGGTAGTACAGAAGAGTTCATTTCCAAGTCGAAGCAGTCAGCGCAAAAGGCGATGGTTGCCGTGATGTGGAGACGACATGCTTTCAAGAAAAGCGTTCCGGATCATTCCGATACCCAAGAGATTTCAGGTATGAAAGTTTAGGGCCAATTCGGACTCGTCAAAGTTTAATGCGATAATCAGTTTGAACCCTAGTCACACGGACCGATCGATGGACAATTGTTCAGCAGACCATCCGAGCATGAGCTGAATTATTCTAAACTAAGCGCTTTCAGCTGTAGATAGTCAGGGTCCCTGATCATAGATACGAAATTCAGTTGAGTTCAATTCAGACAGTGAAAGCACGACGAATGAATGAGCTCGGTTTCTTGAAAGACGGGAAGTTCTGATGGCAATGGCAAGCTCACAAGGAGCTCAAATTGGTGCTCGAAACATCATGGGTCCAGCTCCAGGGTGAATTAGGTTTCATCCACACAGTGGCGGGGAATTTGCAGTTGCAGTTCGAGATGGAGATGGAGACCGACCTGGGGGATGGAGTGATAAAGGTTGCTAACGTGCGTGAGGGTGGCAGCCTGCTCCGCCACGGCTTTCACCCAAGTATCGTCTCCATGGCCCAGAGAGTTGACTGCAATGCCCGCAGTCATGTCAAGGTACTCCTTGCCCTCGGCGTCGGTCAACCAGCAGCCTTGCCCGCTCACGAACACCAACGGAGCTCGGGCGTAAGTGGGCACGAAGTACTTCTTGTCCGCGTCCATCACCTCCTTGGAGCTCAAATTGGCAGCAGTCATGCCCGCCTTCAGCCGCTCCTCCGCCATGCGCACCGCTGCATCCCGAGCAGCGTCGCTCTGCTGCCATTGCAGGGGCACGCTCTGCGCGCTGCACCCCGGTGCTCGCGCCGCGCTGCTCCTCCCCGATGCTACCCGCTGCTCCCGCACAAGCTCCTGAATCCCGCTCCCCCACAACGACGACGAGCTTATGCCACTGCTGCTGACACTACAAGCAGCCGCGGACGCCATGATTTCTCTCTACCTCCCTCCCTCTGTACGACTCGCCTCCTCCCCCCGAATCACCTGCAACGACCGATGCTTCAGGCGTATGACCCAACTCGCTGCGAATTGTTATCCAAAATTGTCGCGGATCTCATTCAGGACGTGCAGCCGATGCGATCTCCTGGCACCCGCACGGGGGATCGATCGGGTTTTGGATGACTGGAGGTCTAAACCCCTTGGGGAAAGAGCGACGGGTATTTGAACAGAGGCTTGAGCTGTTATGGAGTCCAAGTAAATAGCCAAAAGGATGGGAACACCCCAACGATCGATCCTGGGGCTGCTGGGGGCTTTTCCTCGGGCTTTTGTTTTCTTCTCCTTCCTCCGTCACTCTGTCAGGACCAGGTTCATGAACTTCCGTTGTACGGTTCGAGTCAGCTGCTGCTACGTAGTCGATTTGCCGTAGGTCTGGGTGACGGGGAACGAGGCTCCAGTCTTGAGACTTGACACGGGGACCGACCGGAAGACACGAGGCGTTCCAAATCGAGCTTGACGTGGCCTCTACGCACTTCTGGCGGGACTCTGTTACTGCGAATCTTTCTACTTTTACTCATTTTCAACTCTGCCTTTCTTGTCGTTTGTCTTCGACGGCGCGAGCTTCCCACTCTGGCTCTAGAACTTGACCTCTACGTAATATCCCATCGGAGGCATCTACGGTGGCAACTAATCAGTGAGATAACTGGAGTGGCGGACGAGGCTGTGCAGGTACCGACCACCGAACCGGATTTGCAGTTGAATGAATGGGCAGGGAGTGCTTCACTCTCCAGACAGACAGATGATTACGTGTGTGACCGGTGTGTGTATCGTTTCTCGTGTTAGAAACTTATCCATATTATTATTGTCGCTCTTCGGTGGGTCACGTTTCGCGCGGAATGGGAAACAGCTGATTCACACTCAACAATTCTATTTCTCTCTCTTGCTGCAGGCGTGGAGAGCTTGCTTTTGCTCTCGAAATGTGAGGTCCGAGCAAGTCTCTGGTCTCTCTTTCGCAGTTCATTGGTTCCTTGATCAGCTTAATCCCATTTCTCTTTGCAGTTGTAATGCAACCTTTTCACCCGCCTGCGAGGGTTGTAAAGCTCTGATTTTGTCGACTCTCCTGGTTCTCAAATTTATTTTTTGTCAGCCTACAAGACAGCACTATTTACCAATGCTCGATAAGGCGTAAATAAACTATGCCCTCTCTAGGAGGTCTAACTAAGTGAGTAAGGGACGCATTCGACCGACTCCAAAATTTATGAAGATAAAGCCTGGTAATGACATGATAGCTCTCCCCAAAGTAATATAGTAGAACAGTTGTTAGAATTAGCTACATATTGACGTCTATAAACATACTCTTTGAGTGCAAATTTTACAAAATACCCAAACATAGTGAAAGATGTATTACTGGATACAGCCGAGCCAGCTATTCATATGAACTGTTCTAATGGTCCACATAAAAATGAAAAATTTACCTGTGAGATCAGATCTACCCAAATTGGCATGTAAATCAAGTCTCTTATTGCCATCACTCAACGCAAGTCTTACCACAAGGATTGTCAGGACGATTCTCATTGGAGAACGTGATCTCTAACAGGAGACACTTGAGCAACCATGATCACAACGAGTCTAAGTGGCTCAATATCGAATACCGCATGAGAGGAGGCCGCAAGGATGGCTGTTTATATCTTAAATCGGCTATCAACAAGGCAGTGCAAATGTCAACGCCCTTTCAATAGTGAATTGTCCTCATCCAAATCTCATGCACCTTAGAAAATTTGGATGTGAGGAAAATTTGTTCTATTCATAATCAAGTTTGACAGTTTTTTTGCTAGTTTCGTATATAGGCTATAAAACTCAATGAAAAGCCTATTGTGTGTATGACGTTGTTAATGTAAAAGTGTACACCAATAAGAATTTAAAGTTTATCTTTAAGAAGTTTATCTTTATTTTGAAGTTTTTTGAAGCAAATGGTGATTTTATTCCATTGCAAAAGAAAAATAAAAACACCGCTGCACAACCGAGCAAATCCAAATGCAAGTTGGCAATACCAAAATATTTTAGTTTTTTTACCTTATGAACATCTGAAAGCTACTTGTCTACCTAGAAACAAATATAGCAATGAGCGGATGCTAGTAATTCCAGACAATCCTTACATTATGCTAGGAGAAGAACAGACCTAAATGATCTTAGCTTTGCTGAAATTGCCTGGTCGTCTTGGATTCTCCTAGAGGTTGATGCCACTCACACCATGCTACCTTTGATCGCTCACATCTAGGCCATGTCAAGGATGAAACTCTAGTTTTGCCGATAGAGAAATGTTGGAGGCCACTTGTGATTGTGGAAGATGAACTGGTTATGCTTAATCTAGTTCATCCACAAGATTGATTCATTTATGAGCTTTCAAGATTGCAAAATTGCTTGTAGAGTAAGTAGAAGCTTAGTTCCAAAGATACAATGCTCCCATGAAAGTGTGGACCACAACATGATGTTACTCAAGATTGGATCATCAAATGCAAAATTGTGATCACGTACTTCCAGGCATGATCAACCATCTTACAGGTGAAAAAGCAATGGAGTATTGACTCAGGTACTTCCATGTCGCATCATGAACATAGTTTGAAAATTTTGACAATTGCGCGGTGTCGCCACTGATTTTCTTTAACCGCATAATGATTTATGTTCCATAAAAATGCCGCATGCTTATGGTACGAGCACTTGTTTACACTCCTTCCAATCGGGATTACTGTAGTTGATAATAATTTTGTCTATTTCTTGTGAATAGTTTGGAAAAGGTGGACTCAAAGATGAATTATGATTGGATCCTTTAAAGCCACATAATCATAGATTTGTACATCACCTTGCAAGCATTAGTGACCAAGATCAAACACAAACTTGCACACTAGATCAAATAAAATTTCCAATCAGAATTGCATTGTTGAGGATGCCACGTAATGTTAATGATTCTGATTTGAACCAATTGGCCACGAAGCATCTAATCGTCTGGAGCAATAATTGAGACTGGGATGAAACGCTGAGATCTTGAGCCAATGCAATACCTTGGATATCTAGCAAGGATGAAAATATAAAACATTTCAATCAAAAAGGGAGAAAGAAAGGTAATTGAAGCTTGAAGTGTGAGAATTGGATTCTCCAAAATTTGGTCTGGAAAGAATCCAAACTAATCATAGTATTCTGCATGAAAAGATATTCGATGGAACAGATTTATCCATGCTTGAAAAACCTGTGAATAGTAACCTTTAATTCATAGACACTTTGTGTCAAGCAATCAAAACTGTCGTGATGATCCAAAAAAACTACGCGGTGATTGTTTTTTGGATAGGAAAAATGGTAGTGGATTTATTTATTTATTTTTGCAGAGAACATCTATTACATTAACATAGATTAGATTAATGATAAAAAAAGTCCAAATTTTTATTGTTTATTCACATTATAGTAATGGAATCCTGCATACAAGAGTCAAGATGGGGCTATAATTTTGTGGAAACCTCTTACAAATAAGGATAAATACAAGCAATTAGGTTCACTATTTGAGAGTTCTGAAGTGTTTGATCAAAATGTGGAAGTAGTTAGTACTATGACTACATCTATTACATGCTCTGTCCGTGAATTCAAGCATTTTTTATCTACAAATCCCAACTGGTGTTTCATCGATTCCATCATTTTGTTGATTTGTGTTCCCTAAGAGAGCTCTTATGGATCTTGGCAGATGGTACTTGTGACTGTATTGTGCTAGAAAAATTGTTCAAAAAGCTAGATTTGGATACGGACTGGCTATATCTCTATGAGCAAGTTGCAAGGATTGATCCTAGCGGAGAGACTCGGTAGCAAAGAAAAAATTCCTACAAAACAGGTGGTCATAGATGCAATTAAAACATTCAACGTCAAGAAGAATGGTAAAGTTTGTCAAGAAGATTTTGTGAAGGGTATAGATCAAATGATTCAAAAACTCAAAGATGACATCAAAAGATCACACACATGTGCCAAAATACTTGCTCCTCTGCACCAAGAGCCAACTATTGGAGAACTAAGTGGTTAGAGAGTATCAAATCACCAGGCGGAGGAACAATCTTCTACAAGTTGGAAATTTCAGCATTCAGATGGACCAGGGTACTGGTGGACACTCAAACATCAAAGTTTGAAATTTCGCCTTTGCCAAATCATATGTCATGGCACATATTTCTACAGCTATTATGGAGAAAATAAATTCTAGTGGAAGCAAGGTAGAAACGTCACTAAAAACACTCGTCATGAGATGTAAAGGTCTTGAAGCCGAGGAAGTATTTCTTGTCAACATTGATTGTCTTGGGGTACACCTCCAAATTCAGTGCCAAATTGAAGTACATACAATTCAAGTATGCTTAATAGCCAAGCCGGCGGGCAACATGTGAAGATTCGACTTAGAAATTTCTTCATCAGCTACTTGTTCTACGACTGTGACAAAGACTACCCAAAAAGAAGGTCCAACAATGAGCCAATTTTGTTGTGCTTTGAGTTATAGTTTAGGTTCATATGGTTCTATCCATCATAGGTTTTTGTCTATACATCTTAGTGAAAGCAAAGAGTGAGCTTTTTGGAAAATGAAGAAAGTGTTTTGGACTAAAAAGCCTTAAGTAAGAGTATATTCCAGAAGAGTTGAGACACAAATCTGCCATGTGATATGAAAGTTCTTGTTGGGGTACCATTAGTTTGCTTCTACGTATGCAAAAAAAAATTCTTGATCGCATCAAAAAAGGAAGAATATGAAATTCTGAAAGTTTAGTGATAGACGATGTCGTTTGAGCAAGCTAAGCGCATTGCAAAGTACCAAAAGCGGAAGCATCATGTAGAGAAGAATGTGATTTTGACAAATTAATCACTCCCATACCATGCAAACAATGGAATATTCTGAGAGTAGTTTGTCGTTCATCTACATTGCTAAGAGGAGCTCTCATGTTGTGCTCAGCTTTACATATGACCTATATTGGGATGATGAATCCACCAGCAAGGCAAGGGAGACAGAAACGACCAACGTAAAAAGTCAGGCATGGACGACAATGCTGAGTGGATATTTCAGTTTTTTTGGTGTCCATCTGGCGATCATTCCTAGCACTGCAACCTCTGGGCTGACTCTCACTTAGGTTTAACTCAGATGGCTTTTCGGTAGTTCATAATGGTACTAGAAGACTAGGATTCCTCCTCATGCTCATAGCCCAAACATCCTCTAACACAATTTCTCAAGGTATCACTCCAACTTACACACACATCAACA